CGGAAACGGCGCGGGACGTCACTCCGCTGGGCCTCCCAGGAGCCCCCGAGAGCGGCGACGAGCCCCGTCGCCATGCACCCCGGCACCCCCAGCCTGCACCCCGGCACCCCGGCAGTGCCCACCAGTGCCCCCTCCACTGTCGCACTGTCTCCACTGTCCCCGCCACTGTTCCGACCACGGTTCCACTCTCCCCACTGTCTCCACGGCCCCAACCACTGCCCGACTATCCCCACTGTCCCCACTGTCCCACTGACCCCTCCGCTGTGCCACTGAGCTGTCCCACTGTTCCCACCACTGTCCCCACTGCCCCCACCACTGTCCCCACTGTACCTCTGTCCCATTGTCCCACCGCCGTCCTCGCCACCGCCTTCACCACTGTCCCCACCACCATTGTACCCTCCACTGTCCCACTGTTTCCACCTCATTCCCACTGTCCCCACACCACTGTCCCCACCACCACCGTCCCCACCACTGTCCACTGTCCCCCCTGTTCCCACCATTGTCCCCACCACTGTCCCCACCACTACCGTCCCCACCACTGTCCCACTGTGTCCCCACCACTGTCCCGCTGTCCCCTCACCACTGTCCCCACCAACACCGTTTCCACCACTGTCCGCACCCCCACTCGGTTTTCGGGGGGGGGGGGGGGGGTTCGAACCGGTAATGACCCCCCCCCCTTTCATGATGAACTGGGGTAGTGACCCCCCCCGGTTTTCTGGGGGGGGGGAGGGGTTCGAACCGGTAGTGACCCCCCCAGGTTTTCCGCCAGCAGCGGTAGAACATGCTCTTTCTCACCTATGCACAGGAGGCGCGGGGTGGGAGGAGGCGGCGGCCAGGCGGAGGTGAAGGCGGAGCGCGCACTCAGAACATGACTAGCTTCGCAAGACAACGCTGGCGGCGACAGGCTCCTGACGACGCCGCGCGACAAAATGGGGGGAGAGAGGAGAAGCAGCAAGAGACGGCAACGGGTGCGGGCAACATCTATACCCATATCCAGTGCGTCTTGGGCTTTCTCGAGAAGGGCGCTACCAGGCCGAGCCGCCCTGGAGATGGTTGAAACATTCGCCTCGAGGGCCAGATGTTTATCCATATCCAGCGCGCCTTCGGTTTCTGGGGCAGGGAGCTCGAGACTCAAAGCTGCAGTGGATATGGACTCAAGTCTTGGCCGCGATGGGAGGAGAAGCGGCGAAAGATCAGAAAGACCGGACTGCCCACGGAGGAGACAAAAATGTGACCCCCATCCCCGCTGAGAAGGCTTCGGATTGCACGCAGGCGGCCCCCCAAATAGTCCCCGGCTGGCCTCAACGGGCCCCCCGAGTAGTCTGGGGCGGGGCGGTCTCAACACCCAAACCCTGGGGCGCGGAGCGCCCCAGGGGCGCCGCCAGGGGCGCCGGGGTGCTGAGACGACCCCAGACGTACCGGGGGACCTGTGGAGGCCAGCTGGGACTGCCTGGGGGGGCTGTCTGTGCGCAACCCGAAGCCTCACCACTCCCCGTCGCCTGCATGTCGGGCTGGCGGAACTCCGTCCACGTGTCGCGCAGCGTGTTCATCGTCTTCTGCAGGTCCAACCTCCGAGCCGAGCGCGGCGCGGCCACCGCAGGCAAGCCACGTGATTCGCGGGGCATCGGTCCGCGCCTCCATCCCTGGGGCCAACCCCCTCCCTCTAATGTAGCATACTGTGCTGCTCCAGCGCGAAGCTCATGCATTACAGATCACAAACGGCTAGCAGCTCACTGCTCACCCTGTCAAGGCTCCTTCCCGACTGGTCGCAGCACGGCGGCGCCTCTTCTTGGAAGCGCTCACCTCAGTTCTGCCCCCTCGCCCGGGGGGGGGGGGCTCTGGCCACCAGGGGAGGGCGCGCGCGCGCAGTCGGAGAGCCCATGGTGGCCCGGGATGGTTCCAGACCGCCCCAGGCCGCCGGCGCGATGCGGCAGGACGAGCAAGCCCCGGTGCAGCCGAGGCGGCCGCCCGAGGCGGCTCGCCATCCCGGCGGCCCGAGGCCACACGGCGGCTCGAGGCGGCCCGCCACTCCTCGGGCCACCCGACCTCGGCCCTCGCGCTGGCGCGGAGCGAGGCCGCCGCCCCGCTCTCGAGCGGCGTGCCCGGATAGACGAGCAGCTCCACGGCCCGGCCCTCCGCCCGCGGCCCTGCTCGCGCGCTGCTGCGGCCGACAAGGGCAGACGTGCCCACGCTCACCGCCCAAGGTGGCCGGCTGCCTCTGTGGTGTTCGCCCTCTTCCCCCCCGTTCGGCCTGCGAGGGAGGCCGCAGGAGCGTATTGAGCGCCAGGATGGCCCGAGCGACTCTGCAGACGGGGCCCAAGAGGAGCCCCGAGAGGGTCGCAAAGGTCTGGAAGAACACCGCACGAGCGTGTCGAGACGGCTCTGGGATGCAACTGTTCAGGCTCAGTGAGGGGGACGGGGGGGGGGGCAATCGGGCACCCCTCTTTGTCCGTCGACAGCTTCCAGCGTGGCGCCAAAGGGGCCCCAGAGGCTTCCTCCCAAGGGGGCCCCAGAGAGACCCAAGAGCGCCTCGAAGGTAAGTAGAATACCCCAAGAAAGCCCGGAGATGGCTCCACCAGGTTCCCAGGAGGGCCCCAGGTCAACCATCTCTGGGGGTTGCGTGGGCTGGTCCCCACTTCGGTGTAGCTGATGCTCCCAACGCCCCTTCTCACGACAGCTTGACGAGAAACGCTTCTGGGTGGGTGGGTGGGGAGACGCGGAGCCTCAATCGAGCGGGCCCCCAGCGCACGAACGATGCTCGGAACGTGGACGGCGCTGGCCGCAAATCGCTGCTGCAGCGCCCGCTGGAGCGGGGAGGGCGCCCCCCGAAGCGATGCCTGGAGCAGCCGCAGGGCCAGCGGCATCGAGAGCCAGGGCCTCTGCACTCTGCGGCTGCGCAGCTCGCGCTGCTGGCTCTCCCGCGGGGGCCTGCGACGACTCGCCTCCTCCTCCTCCTCCTCCTCCTCCTCCGAGGCCTCCCTCCTCCTCCTCCTCCTCCTCCTCCTCCTCCTCCTCCTCCCCCTCCTCCTCCTCCTCCTCCTCCTCCTCCTCCTCCGAGGCCTCCCTGGCTCATCGTCGGACACACTTGCCGGAGGCGTGTGTGTGTGTGTGTGTGTGTGTGTGTACAGTCGAGGCGTTGACCTAAGGAGCCCTAAATAAGGAACGAGGCCCCTTTTCTCCATAAGTCAAACTTCGATTCCCCATCGAAGACATAAGGAAAGCCTGAGGCAAACCGTGAAACACTTAAGGAACGCGGAGCCCCTTCCCAACGAAAAGGGTTCCTTCTTCAGGGCCCCGACTGCAGCTCATCGTCGGACACACTTGCCGGAGGCGTGTGTGTGTGTGTGTGTGTAATCCGCACGGCGGGGGCTTTCCTGAACGCCGGCGGCTCCCGAAGGGAAGTCGCGGTCGTGCGGTGCAGAGGGTCGAGCCGTCTCGTCGACGACGCGATTGTCGCTCGCACGGTCAAGACTGGCAACGATCCTGGCCGGGCGCCTCACCTGAGTTGGGAACCCCCAAACCGGGTTGTGAGATACCAGGTGGCGACCTGGAATCCCCAAAAAGGTCACCGCTGGGTTTGGGGACGCGGGGTCACGACCGGGTTCTGTGACTCCTGGACCCACCAGTGTCCGGGGCATCCTCGGAAAACCGCACGAGTCCCCAAACCGGGTGGTGACACCGCATCGCCCGAGACTCACCGCCAGGTGTTGTCACCACCACGTTTGGGGACTACCAACTGAGGCTGTGCAGCAAATCGTGCCCGGTGGGGATGCAAGCTGTGTGGAATTGCAGCGCGGTTGCGGAATTATCTCTACCTTCGCAGAGCCGCCGTGCTCTGCTGGTTGGTGATGGCCCGTGCCATCATTGATGATGCCATCGTCGCCGAATTGCTGGAGAATGGTCTGGACGGCTTCCTCCTGTCTCTGTGGAGGCTCCCAATCGACAGTCGATACTGGCTCGGAGTGTCAGTTCCATAGTGCTGGGATGGGGGGGCGATTTTTGGCTATTCAAGCCGAGTGATCGGTTGGCCGTGCTCTATTCCTTGCAGGGGTTCTGGTCGAGGATGGCTCTTGATAACCTCGCTGCCATGTTGGTGGTCATGCCACCCTCGCCTTCGTCTGGCCGCCTCCGTAGCATGGTGTGCCCGTGTGCGACTTCAGGTCTGCCTCGAGTGTTGGTGCCACCTGTCTTTGTTGAGCACATCGAAGATACCTAGGAGGATGGCGATGACGAAGAGGGCAAGGATGACGAGGAGGAGGAGGAGGAGGAGGAGGAGGAGGAGGAGGAGGAGGAGGAGGAGGGAGGGAGGGAGGAGGAGGAGGAGGAGGAGGAGGAGGAGGAGGAGGAAGAGGAGGAGGAGGAGGAGAAGGCGAAGGCGGCAACCGCCTCCTCCGCCTCCACTCCCTTCTCAATCTCCTTCGCTTCCCTCCCCATCCCTCTTGTAATGAGAAGTGCCGGCCACCACCGGCAGCCTGTACCCTGCCCGCCGCAAAGGACGGGAAGGGTCCATGCTCGTTCCGGAAGCCTTCCTGGAGCCACTCGCTCCACTCTTGCGTCGATGCTGCATCCATTGCCAGACGACTCGAGACGAACTTGAGACGAACCAGAATCGAGCTGGAGCCGAAAGATCCGAACTGGAGACGACAGATCCGTCAGGCGGCCCCCAGCAAGGTCCCTAAACCGATCATCGAAGGGCGGGGGTGGGCGGGGGTGGGCTTCTGAGAAACCCCGCCGTCTTCTCGGCAGGCGGAGGAGGAGGAGGAGGAGCAGGAGGAGGAGGTGGAGGTGGAGGTGGAGGAGGAGGAGGAGGAGGTGGAGGAGGAGGAGAAGAAAGAGGCGGTGGAGGTGGAGGTGGAGGAGGCGGAGGAGGAGGAGGAGGATGCTTCCCTTCCGCGGGGGTGGGCGGCGGGCGCACATGCCGCCCGCGGCGCGCGTGTCGACGTGGCCCACGTTGCAGACGAAATACTCCGGCGGCAGCTGCGACTCCGGGCGGTTGCTCTTCAGCACTGCCTGGCGAGGGAAGTGGGCGGAGGGCGGCCAGGGCAAGGAGGTGGTCCTTGCAAGAGCAGGGGCTAGCAAGCCCGACGAAGGAGCCACTGTTGAGTTGAGCTAGGTTAGGCAGAAGTCAGCGGGAGGGTGAGGCGAACTGAACGGGGATTGGTCGGATTGAATTCGCTATGCCCGAGAAGAATGGTCGTCGACCACAGACGTACCAGCGCCGATGCTGAATCTAGCCATCTAGCCTCCAAGGAATCGCATCGAGAGCAGGGTGTTGGGGGAGAGGAGGGGGAGGAGCAGGAGGAGGATGAGGAGGAGGAGGAAGAGGAGGGTGAGGAGGAGGAGGAGGAGGAGGAGGAGGAGGAGGAGGAGGAGGAGGAGGAGGAGAGAGGATGAGGAGAGAGGAGGAGAGGAGAAGGGAGAGGAGGATTGGGAGGACAGGGAGAACGAAAAGGCGAAAGCCGCCGCTGCGGACCGTCGTCCAGGTCTGTGCAAGACCAGGCACATGACCGAGCGGGGGGGGGGCGAAGGCGCCCCTCGCGAGGCGGCCGCGAAGCAAATACCACAGGGTACCTGTTGTGCTCCCCAGGTGAATAGTCCCCTGATGAAGATTGGCGGCGCGCACAAGAGGATGGAGGGAGGGGGGAGGGCTTCTTAGGAGGCTGCTCCTTACAGGTCGCGGGCCTTACATCTATAGGTAACGCCCGCACCTTCTAAGAAGCAGGGGTGCTTCTAAGAAACCCACGGTCGCTGAGCGCCTGCCAGCGCTGCCAAGTCATCCGCCATCAAGGCTTCGCGCACCCTTCGGCACCCGAAAACGACTTGCCACAGGGGGGGCGACAGCATTTCTCCCTCCCCGCAACAACATTCCCACCCCTACTCGTGCGTGTACTTCGACAACCCCCTACCCCACACCCCCTACCTTACCTGCCCTATCCCTTGTCCTTTTCTCCTCTCCCATTCGTCCATTCCGTGCCGTCATCCACGCATCACCCCTTCCTGATCCTTCCCATCCGCCTCTCAGCCTCCACTCCGTTCCCCATACGAACGAATTGTCAGAAATGCACTCTGCACCCCTTCCGTCGTCAAAGCAGCAGCCGCCTCGGGAGCAAAGTACGCCGCAACCCCGAGGTCCACATCCTGCGAAGGGCCCTCTCTGCCCCTTTGCTCTCACGTGCTCGCTCGTTTGATGATCACTCGATTCTCATGTTCGGCATGTTCTCGATTAGGCACGACTCAGAGCAAGAAACTACGGCATGAACATGAACTGTCGAAGGTCCGCGCGGATTTCTTGGGTCGGCGCTGGGCCTTCATGGCGGCGCCTCTGGAGCCGACACTAGCACGGCCCGCGCGTCAGGGAGGGAGGTCCGCGCTAATCCACGATATCCCTGAGGATCCCAAGAGGTTCGATCCACGCAACCAGCGCGGACCTCCAATGATGTAAGTCGGTAGTTCTTCTTTGATGGTTGGTGCGCACTGGCCTCCCATCGGCTTTGCATCGGGCTCTCTGGCTTCCCTCCGCTCCTGTCCACCCTTCCTGTGCTGGCTGCGTGGCCGTGCCCTTCTCGGGGGAACCAAGAAGTACATACTGATACAGCTACTCCCCGGACCTCTCCCGGGGCGCGTTCTGACCAGAATTTCGAGGCGAATCCAGCATTGGCGACGCGGGCCTCCCTGGAGGCCCAAAAGGGAAGAAAAAGAGGCAGGGTAGCGGTACGGGTATGCAGAACAAGAAAAAACACATAAACACAAATTTTTGGCGCTCCGCGCGGATTTCTTGGGTCCGCGCTGCCCCCCCCCCCCCCCTGGCGCGCGGAGCGCACCAGGGGCGGCGCCGGAGGCGCCGCCGGGGGGCCCAAGAGAGGATCCAAGAGATCCGCGCGGAGCGCCAAAGGCTATGCTTATGAGTTGCTGCCCTTCTTCGAGGGCAGCGGCATGGGTACTGGCCATCGCTCGGACGTCCATTCCCTGTGTTTTTGTTTGGTTTCGTGCGTGGCTTTTTCGCCAAATGATCAAGGATGCTCCTCGATGGTCCTCGCCGAGAAAACAACGCACACGTCCGAGCGATGCCAAGGGGTATGCTTGTGTGTTGTTGTTCTCCTTCGAGGGTAGCTTCGGGCCGGGCGAAAGGGGGGGATAGCAAAGGGGGGGGGAGAATCAGCTCACGCAGCTGATTTTCCCGGCGCCTCCCGGCGCCGGATGGAGCTATGTATCGTGGGCTGGGCCCCTCAGTGAGGCCGAAACCAGCTGCATGCAGCAGATTTCGTAACCCCCCCTTTCCCAATTCCCCCCCCTTTCGTCCGGCCCGAGGCCAGGGGGTGTCGTGCCCTCCCCTGGCCTCTGCCCGTGGGGCCTTCCGCCGCCCCGCCTCGCCCAGGCGTGCAGCGCCCCCGTGCAGGTGGCCCGCGGCAGGCGCCCGCCGCTCCGCTTGCCGCGGGCACGCCCAAGTCAGGACGGCCCCAGAGGGCAGCAGGACCTCCCTGCTGCAGTTCGGTCGGGCATGTCCCCCCACGAGGTTTTTTTTTTCATGTCGAATGGCGGTGGAACGCGCCAGGCTTCTGACGATGACCGCGCCATCCACCACGCCGGCATGCCCTTTGAGCTTCGTGAGGGTTAAGCTGCACGCACGGACGTCGTTGACGCTGGGCGCCGCCACGTCAAGTGGGCCCTCGAAGTGAGCCGCGAACCCGTCCTCCTACAAGGAATTTTGGACGGGGAAAGAAATGGTCCAAACATGATCCAAACATATTCCAAGTGGGACCTCGAAGAGAGGGCGGCACCAGAGTAACCAGCCTCGAATGTATCCCTATCCCTGAGCTGGGCGAGCAAGAAGCGAGGACAGTCTTAGGGATAGGCCCTCAGAAACCGAGGGAATCCTCAAGATCGGCATCGAGGTGAGGTGATGTCAAACATAGGGATAGGGATATGTTTCAAACTGGTATTTAACAGAGGGCAGCAGGACCTCCCTGCTGCAGGTAGGTCGGGCATGTCCCCCTACAAGGGGTTTTTGGACGGGAAAAAACTGTCAAGGCATGATCCAAAAAGATTCCAAGATTGTAGAAGAAATCGCCCCCTGACTACAGGCCCGACTTAGTGCTACAATGGGGGCCTGACCACAAGAAACCTTCCACAGGAAACCCAAACCTGAGACTCCGGGGCGTCGTCCATCGATGTGTGGTGTGGCAGCGTCACGCTTTCCGTCGCAAAACCATCGAAACCTCAGAGATCCAGGGCACCCTGGGCAAGCAGGGTGTTTTCTGGCATGGGCCTCCACCGTTCGAAGCACCCCACTAAGCGAGGCCCCTTTTTAAGCAAATGCAGCTTCAGAAACGAGCACAGCAGGGCTGCCCCGAAAACGACCGGGCCTGTTCAGAACACGCCAAATGCACAGTCAACCCGCTCAAGGACGCGCGATAAGGCCATGTCGGCACTTTGCGAGCGGGGCGCGGCCAGCGGAGGCGGCCAAGGGCGGGCCGAAGGGGAAGGATGCAAGGGTAGCCTTGGAACATCGCTCATCCTTGCGGGTGGATTGTCGTTCTTTTTTCGAAGCACGTGACGGGAAGCGACTCGATAGAACGGGAAGTCCGGGAACAGAGGGAGTCAGGGCGGTGCAGGACGGGACGGGAGAGATGTGCACTCTTATGCCGGCGGCAAACTTCCACCGGGGACGGGGAATGTGTTCATTGTTTTACCTGAGAAGGGGGGGAACGTTCAGGAACGCGAGGGTTCAGGGTCCAGCCAGCTAGGCGCGCTCGCGCCTCGTCTGACAGACCCTCCCTCCCATCATTCCCAATAGCGCCGTCGCGTGAAATCCAGGATCTCCGGCACATCGGACATGAGACTTTACAGTCGGGGAGTTGACCTAAGGAACCCTAAATAAGGAACGAGACCCCTTCTTCCCATGAGATAAACTTAGATTTCCCATGGAACCCCCAAGGAAAACCCAAGGCAAACTGTAAAACAATCAAGGAACGCCGAGCCCCTCCCCAACGAAAAGGGTTCCTTCTTGAGCGCCCCGACTGTAAGGGGGACCTCATCCTGTTACGCGCAATCGGAAGAAGGGAGCTGCGCACGGTGGAAGAGCAGGTGGCGAATGAGCAAGACGATGAGCAGAAGGAGCAAGAGGATGAAAAAGGAGCAGAACGAAGACGGACAGCAGCAGCGGGAACTGGAGTGGAAGGAGCGCTAAGATCGGGAGCAAGGGGAAGGCGGAGAAGGGGAAATGAGGGGGGCGACAACGATGGAACAGGGATCCAGAAAAATGGGCCACGCTCGGGCGAGAGCGCCATTCCGAACGACGGAACGCGTCCGCATACATGCACACTGTTTTGGCGTTGGGTTGGCGCGGGGCCCATAGGGAAAGAATCGTCGTGCGATCTTGTGATCGGCTGAGCATTCCGGCGAACCGAGAACATGACCTGGAGGCCATTGCCTCGACATCATCGCGGACAGGTGGTAAACTCTGAATTGCGTATCCTGCGCAAACGGATGTTGTTTGATCAAGTGTCCCTGCACGTACATGATAAGACGTGTGCAATACGACGTCATCTCGGGAAAAGATAGCTAAAGACCTCTTAGAACTGGCGAATCCACATGATGAATCGGGCGCCGTGGCCGTTCCAAAGCACTCCAGACTGGGAGCACTCCGCGACGTTCGGGTGCAAATTAGATTTGCCTCAGGCCTGCCCGGCACGTCGCAACTGTGCATTCGGGGTGGGAGCAACCATGCCTCGGACACTGGCAGAGTGATGATGCTTCCAGGCCCTGACGCGCATGCCTCTGCATGTCTCCCTACCTTTGCATCAGTGAAGCCCAACGTCTCCCTCGTCCTCGCCAAGGTCGAATATCGGAATCGGCGAGCCGTACATGGTCAGCTCCTCCGAGGCGAGGCACCACTTGAGAGAAAGAGGCTGGAAGAAGGCAATGGCATGGGAGGACGAGGAGAACGACACACACACACACACCAAAAAAACGTTGGGACCGATACAGCCCATCAGAAGGAACGCGCTTCTTATCTCTGCACCTCCCGGGGCCACGGCAAACCCGACTTGGGGCCTGTGTTCAGGGGGGGCTGCAACACCCCTCAGCGGAATGCTGTTGACTGAGCCCGCAGGCCGCAGGGTGGGCCCTTTCTTGCCTGTGCACCCCCGCTTCTGGCTTCGGCTTCAAGACCCTCGGGCGCCGATGAGGCCCCGAGCGACGCCGACCCCGAGATGGGCGAGGGCGATACCCTCGGCCGACGGCGAGGCTCCAGGCGCTGGCCGCCCTGAACAAGAATGACAACGGTCGTACACGCCGCTGTCTCTCGCCTCCTGCCCGCCATGCTGCCCCGTGAATGATCCGACGGGGGCTCGCCTCCAAGACGCCTTCGATGCTCGTCATGGGGACCTTCCTAGAGCCACTCGCTCCTATCATGCATCAAAGCTGCGTCGAACGTCCGTGGACTTGAAACAAACCTGAGTCGAACTTAAGTGGAGCTGGAGTCGAACTTGAGTCGAGCTAGCAACGACCGAGGGTCGAACATATCAGTGAGGTGGGCCACGAGAAGGCCCCCACAACAAACATCTAGAACACCGATGTCCAACGCCAGGAGATGAGGAGGGAGAGGAGCAAACCTGGGCGGCTCGTGGAGACGGTGGGGACTCCGCGTCGTAACTTCCGGGGGCCCGAGACCGCGTGGTGACGGACCTCGTGGTGACCTCGGAATCCCCACCGACCTCACCACGCGGTCCCCGACCGCACGCTCTCGGGACCCCGGAGGGCCAGGCCGCCCGAGCCGTCCTCGGAGGTCGACGCGGGCCCCGAATCCGTGCGGTGACCTCGCATCCGCACGGACTCACCGCCCGGTGTGTGGTCACCGCGCCGTCTGGGGGCCACCGAGGGCGTCTGGTGCGAGGCCGTCCGGAGGACGCCCGGAGGACGCCTGGAGCGAGGACGTCTGGAGCGGCAGGGCAGCCGCACGCCCGCGGAACCGGGCGCGGCGGCAGGTGCCCAGGCATCCCCCCCACGCGCGAGCGGCGCACCAGAAGCCTCCCAGACGGGGTCCGGGCAGATGGGCTCGAAGGATCGCGCCGCATCGCCAATGCCTCGCCGATGTATCGGCGAGGCATCGGCGATGCATCGGCGACGTCGGCGATGCATCGGCGACGTCGGCGTGGAGGAGATCGGACCCCTCATCGAGCCACGTCGCCGATGCCTCGGCGATGCGGCGCGATCCTCCGACCCAATCTACTCGGACCCGTCCAGGAGGCCTGGACGCACGTGTGCAAACCTGTGCCCTCGCGGCCGGGACTCTGTGGCACGGTCCCGCGGCTGCGCGGTCGCACGCGCAGATGCGTCCCGCGGGGAGCATCCGCGACAAACACGTCCCGTACCCGCGGGGTCGTGGCCCAAGTGCCCAGCCCGCGAGGCGGCGGATACGGCCATGCTCGTCGCGCGAGAGGGGGAGGTGGCGGACACGGGCGGCAGCGCCATCGGGTAGGCTTCGGGAGCCCGTGCTCTCAGCCCGCACAAGGCATCACCCAAGACATGAGAACGAACTTGCGACCTGCAAACGAGGGGAAACGTCACGGGGAGGGCCGCTCAGGGGGAGGAAGCATCATCGTGGGATCGGAGACACGCCGCCGACAGATCGGCGATGGGCTCCCGATAGCGAACTCGAACAACCTTGGGCGGGGTGGGGCTGTCGGGCCTCTTGTCGGCGATCAGTGGGCGGTAGGGGGTCGATGCATCCCCCGCTGAGCCCTCCCCCCCTCCCGGACGTTGCCCCCGATGCCCTCCTCCCATCCTGGCCTCCCTCCTTACCACAATACTCGGGGGCGCCCAGTGAGGGCGGCGTCCAGGAAGGGGGGGTCGCAAATCCTGGCCCGAGGCCAGTGCACGGCCCACGGGTGAGGGGGAAGAGACCTGCGGCGCAACAGTGACGCAGCCAAGGGCCATGACTGGCCACACGACCCCCCGCAAACAGCGCACAGCCCTGGCAGAGTGGTGGGCAACTCCTGGGAGGTCTATTAAGCCAGGTACTGGGGGGCATGAGCCTGGTTCGGATCGGAATTAGCATGGGATTACGTTTTTCGACCGCGGATATACCAGCGCCTATGCTGCAACCTCCCAGAAGTTTCATCCCAAAGCGGCGGAGTCCAGATTGGGAGTCGGCATGTCCCCAAAACAATGCCCGCACTGAAAGGCTCATGCATATCTTTCTACACAATTGGCTGATCCATCCTAGTATTCACACGAAGCCAACCCCTTCGGGCGCGGCCTAACCGACCCCTTCTGTGACGAGCACCCTCCGTGACGTCCCCCGCGCCCTCGAGGCCTTTCTCCGGCAGTATGCGTACGTCTTGGGGTCAGGCGAGGGGGATGTCACGGAAGTGGTGGCTTTGCGAAGGGTCGGTTGTAGACAGGCGCGTTCCTATACTCGAAAGGTAATTTCTCGCAAACGGCCTGCATCCGCCGCTCGGGATCTACAGTCAGCGTCTTACCAGAAGGAACGCCAAATGAGGAATGAAGGGCCTTTTCTGGCCACGGCGAGCCTCGGCTCCGAGTGCGTCCCCCGACCTAGATCTAGTCTTGACTGTACGATCCACTACCTTTGGTGTCCGTTCCATGGGAGCCTGCGTGGCCCCCAGCGCTGTCCGATTTGGGCCTGATTCGGACTGGATTTTGAACAAATTTGGACCAGATTGGGACCAGACTTGGAATGGATTCGCGGGGACTAGAAGAACGAGGAGGAGGAGGGGGAACAGGAGGGGAGAGGAGGAGCAGGAGAATGGGCCAACTGCGGCCCCTACGCGGTCCAAATGCAGGAAAAGCTGATTTCAGTGTCGCCGCCAAGGCTCCCATGAACAGACATCGAGACTACCTCGAGGCAAGCACGTGTTTTTCAGGACGCTTGCGACCGACTGGGCACCTTGCCAGCATTCGACCGCGCTCGGTGAGGTCAGGCCGCCCCCTGGTCCCTGGGCGCCCCGCGCCCGGTGCGCCGGCTCGCGCTGCGGGATGCACACGCAGCTTGCGCCCGCGCGTATCCGAGGGGGTCCAGGGACACACAGCTCAACATAGCTTTCCAACATCCCAGCATCCCAGGGTCCAGGGGGTCCAAGCATCCCAGGATTCCCCGTACCTTTCCAACATGCTCGTGATCTTCGGCCTCCCCAGCCACTTCCCACATTGTCCCATCTTTTCAGGGGGATCGGCGAGTGTTCTTGTCTGTGCTGATTTTCCTCCTGAGAATAGCTTGCACCCCAATCTATTGGACGGCATGGCTTGCACCGCACAGGTCGTAGCCCAAAGCTTGCAGCAAGGACCTTGCACTAACCATGTGTACGTTCCACACAACTTGCACCGCCGACATTGCACCCCACGGCTTGCACCACGTATCTTGCACCATGTAGCCTGCGCTACCCAGGAGTGCACATCGAGAATGGAACAACCCACTGCCCGAGGTCCAAACTGTCTGCTCATCTGTTCGGAAAAGTCCGGCTATGGGATGCGAGCGCGCTGCGATTGCTCAGGACTTCGCACGTCGGATTATGTGGCAGACCCACTCCAGTGGTGGGCAACCGCACGTACATCAGACCTTCGATCTGACCTTCGAGGGGTCGCGGTTGAGCCTGGGGGAGGAGGGGGGGGAGGTGGGGGAGGGGCCGACGCGGTCCCTGGCAGCTCAGCCCTGCCGCGAGCCACGAGGCTGGGCCATCTTTGCAGGAGGCCGCCTGGCCGCCCCTGCTGTCGGATGCAGGCCGCGAGGAGGTGGAGTCCATCGCTCGGGCGTCCTTTCCCCGTGCATGTGTTGGTGTCGTGTGTGCGGGCTTTGTCAGAGAATGATCCAGGATGCTCCCCAATGATCCCCGCAGAGCAAAATTCACACGTCCGAGCGACGCCAAGCAAGTGGTGTCCAGGGGATCGTCTTCTCCGCCTCCCTCTGCACTCGCCTCCCCAGGTTAGAATTGTGGCCCCACGAGTCCAGCGTGGGCTGGGCGGAGGGGTCGACTCGGCGGACCCCGCTGGAGGAACAGCAGACCAGAGAAGCCTAAACTGCTTCAGGTCCGCGCAAAAAGGGCTCCCAACTTCGCGCTTCGCGCTGCGCGAAGCGCGAAGCGCGAATAACTTCGCGCTCTCGCGCCGCCCTCCCAAAGGGAGAATAGGAGGACGAGGAGGAGGGGGAGAAGGATCGAGGACCGCGAAGCGCGAAGCGCGAATAACTTCGCGCCCTCGAGGGAGCCCTTGCAAATCCCCACTTCCTGGCGCGCGGTGCGCACCACGGGCGGCGCATCATGCGCCGCCCGTGGTGTGACCCAGGAAATCCGCCGGGACCTGCGAGAGCGCATGTTGCATAAGTTACGTATGCCATTATTTCCCATCGGGCTGCAGAAGGAGCATGCTTCGGGGATCTACTGGCCCAGGTCGATACTGACCCTGGTCAGTCATGCCGTGCAAGTTCCTGCAATATCCTGCCAGATCCTGCACACAAGCCCGGGTCAGTGCCCCCTTGGCCGGCAAGATCCTGCATGATCCCGCGCACTGGCCGACCCCCGTTTGCATTGACCCCCGTCACTTGAGCATGGACCGACCGTCCCGGCACTCCTATACGCCTACCGCGAAATTCTCTTATAGCTAAATCAGCGTCCTTAGGACAGGGGCCCAATGTGGTAACGCAAGACAGCCCCCCAGCCAGCTTCCATAACATTGCGTGCAAACCACAACAGAATTTTACAACATTCTCCGGTGGGCCCGTCGGCGAGCGAACCGGGACGCTTCGCCGCTGCTCGAGCCTCGAGGCTCTGCCCCGAGGCCGTGCTCTGGCCCGGCGCGAGAGCCCGACCCCGCAGCCCCTGGCACGCGCGGGCGGCTGGGCGGCGCCGCGGCGCCCAAAGGCGGGCGGGGCGACCGCCAGCTCAATGGCCGCGCTCCCGAGGCTGGCGCGGCGCACGATGGACGAATGCGGCGATCGCGGCGCAGCGGAAGTCGGGCGTCCCCCACGCATTCGCCGCCGCGGGATGGCACGAGCACAAAGGGCAGCGGGGAGCCCGAATCGAGCCCAGGGAGGTCAAGCGAGGGTCACTTGGGGCAGGGTGCGGATAGCGTGGAGGGACGGGCCGGCGGCCGAGAGGATGAGGAGGAGGAGAATGCAGAGGCAGAGCAGAAGGACGACGACAGGAAGGAGGACGCCGATGGGGACGAGGGGAAGGAGTATGCTGGATCATGCTGGCCAACCTTCCGAGGTCGCGAAGCACGTGCAACGGTAGCGGATATGAGCCTGCCGCCTACCCCGAGGCCTGTCCTGGGCGACAGGGCGGAGACTCACGAGGGGAAGGAGGAGGTGGAGGAGGGTGAGGTTGTGGACCGAGACGGCGCTTCTGCTCCCGGGCGCCCCGCTCGGCAGGTCTCCTCGGGCATGATGAAGTTCACGAGGCTCCTGCACCGTCCTCCTCCCTGTCCTCCTTCCCTGCCTGGGCCTCCTCATGCCTCTTCCTGTCGGGGGGGAGCAAAACTCGGGCTCGGAGGACTCGGGTTGGCCCGACGGGGCCGTCAGGAAAACGACGAGATCCAGCCTGAAATTGGACGCGAGCTCCCGCTGCAAACATCCCACGAACACTGGACCGTCGGAATCCGGGGCAGGCTCGCCAAAAAGCTTCGGCTAAAACCCAAATTCTAGCGAGCTCGAGTCTTGCGTTTCCCCGATCCTTATGGCCTCACAGACGAAGGCACGTGCGAGGGCCGTGGTCTGTGGAGGCCCTCTCTCTCTCTCTCTCTCTCTCTCTCCCGCACAGTACTGTTCCGAGGCACCTGTGCTCTGTGCCTCCTGCTGCTGACCCCTACTGATGGCCCTCGTAACCCTGCAGGGAGGGGCCAATCCAGCCTCACCGGCTTCAGCATCAGCATCCAGAACCAAGTCCCGATGCCTGCGCGCAGGGGAGGCAGACGCAGATTCGTGCTGGCGGTCCAGCGGGCGTGGCACCATGAGGGCAGCGCGGGCGGGCGGGCTCAGGGGACGGCGAAGTTGCGAGATGCTGGAGCTGCTGGTAGAAGAGAGAAACTGCTGTGCAGGCGGGAAGGTAAGACAAAGGATACTGATGACAGTAGTACTGATGGTGCTGATGATGACGATGATGATTCTGCTGTTGATGACGATGGTGATGATGATGAGTGTGATGGTGATGAGATCGATGATGGTGATGATGATGTCGGTGATGACGATGGTGATGATGACGATGATGATGCTGCGTTTGATGAAGATGGCGATGCCGATGCTGCTGCTGATGATCATGCTGGTGGTGACAATAATAATGCTAAGTTTGATGACGATACTGGTTATGATGATGATGACGATGATTATGGTGGTGGTGGTGGTGGTGGTGGTGATGGCACTGATGGTGTTAATGATACTGGTAACGGCAATAGGAATGGTCATGAAAATGATAATGTGAATGCTAGTGCGACCATTGTTGCTGGTGATGGTGATGGTGGTGGTGATGATGATGATGATGATGATGATGCTGATGATGATGATGATGATGATGCTGAGGATGATGATGATGATGATGGTGAGGTGGTGGGGAAATACGAGGAAACCGTATAGTAGTGATGATGATCTACGCGCAATGTGTCATGTCTGGATCCTATTCAAGAGAGGCTGGACTTGAGAGCAATCGGCAACACATTACATAGGCATGCACGTTGATCCAAGGCAGCTTGATGCGTGATGGCATTGGCCATCGGCAAGAAGGGCCCAGCGCTACAGGCACACAAGGGCCTGAGCTTCTGTTCCAGGGACAGGGGAGATACAGAATCTGGGCCCTGCCCTTCTCTTCGCCGAACCCTCCCTTCCTGCTGACTGCGCCTCTCCTCCCTCGCTCTCTTTCCGCCCACGCCTGCGCCTCTGCGCGCCACGCACCAGCCCGCAGACTTGACGCTGCTGCCGCGAGCGGCTCCCGCGCGACCAGAGCACTGCCACCGCCAGAGGGGGAAGGAGAGAGAAAGAACGCCGTCCTGTGGCAGGCCTAGAGGCTGACGCCAACACCAAGATCGGCGGTGTGCCTCTATCGAGGGAAGGAATACCCCGATCTCGGTGATGGTGGTAACATTGTGGCTCCCAAGGTGACCGAAATATTGCCACCGACACCGAAATCTAGGATCATCTTCCCCATGTGGAGGCAAACCCCTGTGTTGGTGTTGGTGCCCATTTCTGAGCCTCCGAGTCCTCCCCCCTCCCCCGCCCGCTCCCTCCTCCCCACGACGCTCTCGAGCGCCTACCAGAAAGGCCCTCAAAAACCTCCACCCGGCGGCCGCGGCGCACTGCCGGCAGGCGCGCGGCGCCACCCGTGGAGCCTCCCGCGCCCCTCCCGGCAGCGCTCGGGCGAGCCGCATCGTCCTCTGCCGCCCTCCGCCTCGCGGGGGCGTCCCAGACGGGGGGCGTGGATAAAACAGGGCTAAGATCGGGATAAATCGCTCCAGAGCGTTCCGGAGTGCTCTCAGAGCGTTCCGGAACGCTCTGGAGCGGCCGCGGCGCCCACTGCATCCTCCAAACCCGCCGATTCCCAGAGATTTCGAGTTGTCCCGATCCGATTTTGTCCCGATCTTCGCGTCGTTTTAGTGGAGGCGGGGGTTCAGCCCAGCATGGCCCGAGGCTCGTGCGCGGCTCAGGAGGGGCTACCGGAAGTGCTGGAATGAGCAGCGAAGGGGCCAGGGACTCCGGGCTGCTATCGTGGCCACGGCCATGACATCCGCCCCTCCCCCTAGTCCTCGAGGAGGGGATCGACTACAGAATCGATCTGCCCCAGAATTGTTTTTTCTTGTTCAATCCACGGGCAATTCGTAGAACTTTCGCAGATCTGCGAGAGGATGACATATTTCGGTTGAAGAGTCGACGTGAAACTCAATGTTGGGGGTCGAAATCCTCAACCCCCTCTTGACCGGCCCCCGATCCTCTGGCACCGAGCCCCGCTCCCGTTCGCTGCCGCCCCGCCCCCCTGCGCGACGAGGGGAGCCCGTCGCAAGACGAGGCCAGGGGCACCATCCGATCCGCACGCGTCGGGCACTTCTCAGTGCCGGCGGGCCCGGGGGGGCGCATCGGGCGCCGCGGCCGTGCCAGGGCGCGCGAGGACTCCCTGTCGTGGGCCTGCCCAGTCTCCTCCTCCTCCTCCTCCTCCTCCTCCTCCTCCTCCTCCTCCTCCTCCTCCTCCTCCTCCTCCTCAGGGCGCGCGATGGATCCCTGTCATGCGCCGCTGGGGCGGGCCTGTGCGGAGGAGGTCCCACAGGGCGCGCGTGCCCACCTGGTAGTCTGGCACCTGCCGCCGGGGGGGGGGAACGGGCATGACGGGGGCAGGAGCGGGCGCGGTGGTGGAGGCGGCGCCAGGAGCTCGGCAGAGCCAGGAGGGGTGGAGGGCGGAGCGGAGCGGGCGAGGAGGACGCCGATCGGGAGTGCGAGGAAGTCAGGGGGGAATGGCAAAAAACAGAACAGCGAAGCCGAGGGGCAGTTGGTTCGAAGAGCAGGTGGAACGAGGGAAACCCCTCACACCACGCGGGTGTCAGGCACGCAACCATCACAGGCCCAAGGACTGTTCCAAGCCTAGTGAGGCCCGAAGCCGAGGACAAGGAAGAAGATGGGAGCGGAGGGCGGAAGAGGGGGGAGATGACGACGACGAGACGACTGGCAGGATAAAAAAGAGGACGAGAAGATGGAGGAGGTATGCGGTCGCGGAGATGGGGATAGAGAGGGGCAGAGGAGGGAGGGGGGGAGGGAAGGAGGGAAGAATGAGCCTCAGATGGAGAAGAATAGGGTATGCGTAAAACAGAAAGTGCCACGCTGTCAGGTCTCAAACTAGACACACTGTGAATACTACTCCCCTCTCTCACCTGGAGGCGCCGACCGGGCAGAACGCCCCCTCCCCGCGCATAGTTTCTCACACATCGGATCCCCAACAACTCAGCGATCATATGTGTTTTCCTCATCCGAGCGTTCCCGGTCCTTCCAACAACGTTTTCCCGCTGCAGCGTGGGCCGCATGTCAGGATCGCGGCTCTGCTCCCGTTGTTCAGAATAGTGCTCGGGCCCCCAGCGCGGGCCACTTGTTTGGATCCGAGTCCTTCATCGTTCTGTCCCCCCTCTTTACCCCTCCTCCACCTTCCCCTGGTCTTGCTGCCCCCCTGCCCCGTACACTCCCATTCCTGCTGCTGATGCTGTTCGTCCTGGTCTTTCGACTTACATGTCCTCCTTCACTTCTACCTGCTTATCCTCCCGTTCGCCCGCCACCACTTCCTATGCACGCAGCTCTCCTTTTCTGCTTGAGCGCAATGCGATTGGCTTGCTGCTGGAGCTCCAAGTCGGCCACGACACGCGTCCGCGGATCGACAAACCGTCCGCGCCATGGGAACCGGCGGGACAAAGGGACAGGTTGTCGGACAAGGCTCGAGCGCCCAGAACTTGACCCCACCGTTCTCCAGCCTCCCCAATTCCAAATTCCACTATGCTGCCACCCCTCCCCACCGATATGCTTTCGTAGATGGCAGAAAATCCAGCCCGGTAATAACCACCCCCACACGCGAAGCCGTTCGAACAAAAACGCACCCAACTATGGAATCCAACAGGGCAAAGCTTTTAGAAAACGCCCAAGGCTGTTTGATAAACGCCAGGTGTCCATTCCGGGTGGTTATTCCTCCCTAGAGGTATGCTACCGCCCATCCCCACCGACATGCTTTCGATAGTCCGATATTCCAGTGTGTGGTTCAAGCCTGGGGCAGCCACGAAGGCGGCAGCAGGCCGAGCGCTCGCAGTGTTCGAGTCAAGCGGGGCCTCCTGGGCGTGTGCGCGGCGGTCACACACAAGCCCAACGAAGCAAGTGCTTCCAGACTGCGTCTCGTTTACACGATTGGCTAGCTTCTATCCTGCATGGGCTCCGACAGAAATGTACCCCAATCTTCTTCCCCGATTCCAGCTGCGGGATAGCAGTGGTTGACACGTGCACGGAGGAGGAGAGGTTGGCGCGGGGAGCAGGGCGTAGAGGGAGAGAGAGCCCATCGAGTTGAATCACACGAAAGCCATGCACACTTGTGTGTATATTCCGACCGTATGCCACGACTCGGGGTCCAATCGCCGCGACTACCTTTGCTTGTCGTGCGGGATGGAGGGGCTCGTGGTCAAGGCTTCTGGGCTGCGCGCTATGGGCGCGAAGCTACAGGCCAGCCATGGACCGGCTCCGCTGGACCATCTTTCACTGGCGTGTAGTGTGCCGTAAAACAAAGGAGGACACGAGCGGGAAGGAGCAGAAAGGCCTCACCATCGATGGAGCTTCGATGCGATCATGGCGGGCCTGAGGGTTGACACCTTGCGATACGAGTTCCTCCAAAATCTTCAATATTCCCTTCGTTATGTTCCGTGCGCTTGGACAGAAGACTGTGCGAGCCCCGACGCAATTTTCGAAATCCTGGAAAAGACCCTCCTTGAAGCTGAACGTGCGCACTTTCAGGTTCTTCCCAGCCTCCTGCCCTGATTATGCTCTAGAGAGCGCGCGGCGACGGGACATCCTACGACGGAACACGAGCATACGAGAGGGGAAGGTGGGGGCGTCGGAGAAGGAGGCGGAGAGGATCGACAGGGAGCTGAAGGAGGTGTCTGAGGAGCTTCGCACGGCACGTCGTCGAGCGCAACGTCGTCATCGAGCTAGGCAATGTGAGAAGGCAGATGAGCATTGGGAGCACAGGAGGACGGCGCAGCTCATCATAATGTCAGGGCGGGCTGCACGTACGAGGGTGGGCCCCAAAAAGAGAGACGGCCAACTTTGCGTTCCACGTCTAACGACTCAGGCCGAGTGGTTGTCCACGTTCTCTCCCTGAGGCTGACGAGGGCATGCAGTGTACGGAGCACAACTGGGCTGATTGGAGGGGGGATCGGGAGGTGGAGCCTTTTCATTATGAGGAGGATGAGGTTTCTGAGTTTGTCAAGGAGGATATCCAGCACATCAGGATATTTCTGAGGAAATCTTCAAAACGTCGCCAGGCCTCCCGGGGCTCCTCGCCTCTTGAAGTGTGGCACATGGCGTTGTAGCCCAACTGGCGGATACGACGGTGAGTGGGCCTGGGCAGTTCTGGAAGGCCCCGGAGGTGAAAGGCTTCTGGTGAATGTTGCACGTCGGCTTGAAGACGATGCGCCTTGCGAATACTCCGCCTTTGTGCTGGCACAAGGGCACAAGGGCACAGGCATAGGGCTCCACGTGTCTCTCAAGTTGGGCCCTAAAGGCGTCGTGTTTCTCAAGAGGGCGGCGTGTTCCTGTCAGGAGCCGCTCCCCGTGGCCCTCTCGAGAGGGGGGGATCGCGCCGCTGCTGGCGGCCAGGGGCTTGTCGTAGCAGAGTCGAGGACCACGAGTGAAGGAGGATATGAGGTGAGCAGCAATTTTTAAGGGCACGCTCCAAGTCTGGCGACGGTCTCATTATCCAGACCCGGCCCCCAGGCCTTCTCCAGCAGTGTGTGCGTTTGGGAGAGCTGCAAGAAGGAGGGTTTACCTCTGAGTTCGCCCGTCTCCATTCCCACGTATGCTCATGCGGAGCTGCTGCAGACGCAGATGATATTGGCACCTGGGGCGAAAGCCCCAGGTACAGGGCGTGGGAGGGGGTCGTCTGGTAGTGGGGAGCGTGGGTCGCGGGGAGGGGTTGCCGGGCGTGTTTCCCACCACCACCACCAGAAATTGGAGGGGGGGTCCGCCTCCTCCTCCTCCTCCTCCTCCTCCTCCTCCTCCTCCTCCTCCTCATCCTCACCTTCCTCGCCGTCCTCCTCCTCCTCCTCCTCGCCGTCCTCCTCCTCCTCCTCCTCGCCGTCCTCCTCCTCCCCCCTCCCACTTCTGGTGCGACAGTGGTTGAGCTGGCGATAGGCTAGTCTGGGGCCGGGCGAAAGGGGGGGATAGCAAAGGGGGGGTGAGAATCAGCTCACGCAGCTGCTTTGCCCGGCGCCTCCAGGCGCTGGGAGGCGCCCATGCATCGAGGAATGGGCCCGGCGGCGGAGCCGAAACCAGCTGCATGCAGCAGATTTCGTGACCCCCCCTTTCCCTATCCCCCCCTTTCGTTCGGCCCGAGATAGGCTAGTCGGCAGGCGTTCCCAGCAGGAGTCCACGAGCTGACGCATGTACTCATGTGATCCCATTCCGATGTCCCCAGCGACTGCGGAGAGCGGATGAACCACCAAATCGACCAACCTCGAACTTATGCCTGTCCCTAGGACCGGCAACCCCAAGGCGATGACAATCGTAGGGATGTGCCTTCCGAAACTGGGGAAACCCGTAAGATCGGCAACGAGGTATGGTGATGCCATACGTAGGGATATGGAACTGGTGCAAGCTGGTAAAATCATGGAAAATGCTGATCGCCACAGAAGGTGATGAATTGAAACGAATAGTGATGCGCGCCCGTGCGTGGATGTGCGCAAAACAACAAATGAGCCTGGCCACAAAGAAGGGAAGACGACGATGTTGTTGATGATGACGATGATGAGGACGAGGCCACGCCTACCGTCCCCTCTGCCGACTGAGGTTGTCGCTCCCCTCCAAAGGCGCCTCGCCGAACTTCCCAGCCATGCCCGCCGCGTCGATGCGTATTTCCTGCCTGCCGGTCCACAAGCTGGCGGCGCCCGAACGACCCGGCCGCCCCCCCCACTATGCCACACCCTCTATCCCTCCTCTGACCTCTCTGCTCCCCCATTGCCCAACTTCCCCCTCCCACTCCTCTCCTGGCCCATCCTGGTTCCCACCTTTCCTCCGCCGCCCGTCCATCCTCAATTCACAAATTCTCTCAATCTGAACACCGCACTCCTCGCTCCTCCGCAGCCGTGCTCAGAGAAGCGCCCCCCTCCGCGAATCTTTCAACACACGAGATGACCCGCGTTGGTCTGGTCCACATCCGAACGGTCGCGGTCCTCCAGGAATGGTGCTGCCGCTGCAGCGTGGGCCTCATTCTAGCATCGCGCTCTGCACCCGGCGTTCAGAACGGCGCCCTCGCTCCAGCGCGGGCCGCTGTTCTCGTTCCGAATCCGTCCTCATGATCGTCGTCCCCCTCATTTCCTCTTTGCTTAAGTCGGGCGTGTCCCCCTACAGGGAGATTTCGGGCAAAAATTAAGTACTCAAAAAAATACCTCCCAAATGGGCAAAAATAGTAAAAAAAAAAAAAAAAAAGTCGTCGTCCGACTATTGTTCGACTATGTTTGAATATTCCCCCTGTAGAGGGACAGGCCCGACTGACTCCTTCGCCGTCTTCCCCTGGACCTCCTGCTCCCCGCGCTCCTTCCACTCCAATTTCTGCAGCTGTTCGTCCCACTCCTCGCCCCTCTCCTTCTTGCTCCCCTCCTGCTCCCCCTAGCTCATCCCTTGCTCACCTGCTGCTCACCTCTTGCTCGTCCGCCTTCTCTCCTCCTGCGCATCCTCTTGCTCACCCTACGCCCCCTCTCATGTACGCAGCAGCGCTACCCCGATTGAAAATCCGCCGGCCCCCTTGTGGGGCCACCAGGCTGCGAGGCGCGTGATTCGCAGTTTCCTGTACCAGTTGTAGTTTCTAGTTTCCAGTGTTACAGTTCTGCTTCTTGCTGGTTACTGTAACTAGTTGACTTCTTGCTGGTTACTGTAACTAGTTGATTGACCGCGCGAGGGGGGGGGAGGCCCAAACAAGACTTTTAGCACCCCCTGGGCGCGTTGTCTGAATTGCTGGGCGGGGCTCGAACATCTGAAACACCCCTCACGCAGATCCGCGGGGTCAGGGTCCAAAAACACACGGGATTTGCCACATTTCTGAAATTCGGTGCCACCCCTCACGCAGATCCGCGGGGTCAGGGTCCAAAAACACATGGGATTTGCCACATTTCTGAAATTCGGTGCCACCCCTCACGCAGATCCGCGGGGTCAGGGTCCAAAAACACATGGGATTTGCCACATTTCTGAAATTCGGCGCCACCCCTTACGCAGATCCGCGGGGTCAGGGTCCAAAACACAGGGGATGTGCCACATTTCTGAAATTCTAACCCATCACGCACATCCATCGCAAGGCGTGGTAACCCAAACTGCGAGAACTCCCTCGGCCCTTTCATCGCAAGGTGTGTTAACCAAGCCCTTAAACCATACACGTCTTACCAATCGCCAGGTGTGGTAACCCCTCTTGTGATCATTTGGTTTTGCTGATTGCGACTCGGCTTCGCATGAAGTTTCGATACTGCTTCACGACGGCGCCAAGGCCTCATGACTTAGCTCTTCCATGGCTCATTCTCCGAGAGAGGGGGCCGGCGGCAGGGGGCGAAGCCCTTACGGATAATACGATGTGGTAAGTGTTGTAGAGTTCCAGATCAAGTATGACACGCATCCGTGGTTTGCGAAAACATGAGCGCAAATGGGGCTGGATGTCGGACGTGCCGCGAGCGCACCTCGCCTGCCTCTTCCCCGCTCACTCGCCCTTCTCTTCACCCTTCATGCCTCCGTGCGCTGGGCACCGCTGCTGCTGGCGCTCGATAGGGTCGCGGCTGGTAGATAAAGAGAGGCGGTGATCTTTATCTATCGACGTGAGCCCGTCTTCCGTTCTCTCCTGGGGAAGGGGGGCTGGATCTGAAGGTCCAAATTTCACACACCGCCAATTGCAGCGGGACCCAAAGGACTGGAGCATGTATCATGTAAAGCCGTATCACCAAGGGCACGCCCTCCCCACTCGGCTACAGTGACCGTCGGTCGCAAGGAGTGGGTAGAACCATGGAATCGAAAGGCATTGGAATTGGATAGGGCCTCCGCCCGCCTTTGTAAAACGGAGGGAAGAGTACCGCTCGGCTCTTGAAGTAGGACGGCGCCTAAAGTGGACTGGCATCTGGGAATCCAGAAGCAACCCGCCTCCGCCCTGCCTGCTGCGTCCCGCGTCCTGCGCCCTGCTCGTCCACCTGGTCCTGCGCCTCCTCTCCTGTTCCTGCTTGGCCCTCGCCTCTCCCTCCCTCCGCCCTCGACCGATGGGCCTGCTCCTCTCAGGCCCATCCTTCAGTGCCTGCCAGCGTGGACACCCAGCAACGAGTTGTTGCACAGTGGATATGTAAGGTACGGTCAGGCCGTAGAAGGACGCAAGATGATGATGCAAGGGTCTTGTAGGGCCATGCCGACACTTTGCGAGCGGGGCGCGACCAGCGAAAGCGGCCAAGGATGTGCAGATAATGAAGGATGCACAGGTAGCCTCGGAAAGTCACTCATCCGTACTATGCGGGTTGACAGTAGGCGTCGGGAGCTGTTTTGTGAAATTCTGCGATGTGGAATGAGATGGGCGGTACTAGCTAGGAGGTGCAAGCCACACGGTGCGAGCTGTGCCGTCCAAGCTGTCGGCAAGCTACGTGGTGCGAGCTCCGTGGTGCAAACCAGTCGGTGCAGGCTATGCGGCGTAAGCTACGAAGGTGCAAGTGGAGGAGGAGAAGGAGGAGCAGGAGGAGGGAGGAGGGAGGAGGGAGGGAGGAAGAGGAGGAGGAGGGAGGAGGATGATGAGGAGGAGGAGGAGGAGGGAACCAGCATGGGTGCAGAAGCGGGGCCCACGGGCTCCCCCTCGGGCGAGACACCCCGACGACCACCCACCACACACGCGGGGCGCCCACGATACGCCCATCATGAGCGTGTCCACCGTGCGAAACATCGGGCCGACGCATATCACCCCCAAGGGACCCAGGGACACACAATCCCCCAAATTGCATATACATATACAAATACACACATCTATATATATATATATATATATAGATGCACACACCTATATATAGATATAGATAAGCTTACATATCGATGTTTATGTGTCTGTATATATAGATACATATTATGTGTCTTCATCTTGCCCCCCGCCGTTCCCATAGTTTCCAACATGTTTCCTGGGGGTCGGCGATTCGTGGTCTCCGTGTGTTCCTTTCCATCCCTACACGCGCGGCGCGCCTGCGAGAGGCGTCCACGGGCGGCCACCGAGCGGGCGCCCGACGCATCCGATGGCCCGCCAAACCACGCAGGGAAACCCGTGCGTGCACGAGCACTGCCTGGGGCAAGAGGAGCTCCTGGTTGCAGTAGCTGCTTCGGGAAGCACCGCCCTCTGCTTGGGGAAGAAGGGCTCCTCCGATTGCAGTAATAATAGCTGTCTCGGGCAACGCTGTCCTCTCCTCCTTCCACACGGCCTCCGCAGGTCCTCGTGTTCCTCGTCCTCCTGTTCCCCGTCCTTCTCCTGGTCCCCCCCCATGCTGCTTCTCCTCATGTCATCTTCCTCCAGTTCCGAATGAGAAGGATCCGAATTCAAATGCATTTGCTGTTTCCCTCGGTCTCTGTGTTTTGTGCGTTCTCTCTCTCTCTCTACATATGTGTTTCTCTCTCTCTCTCTCTTCCCAGAAGGGCCACGGGAGAAGAACAAATGGACGACCTGTGGGTTTTCGGATCCCCCCAAATCTTGAATCAATCACAAGCGGAGACATTCGCGCACACAGCGCAAACAAGTGTGTATGGCTGCAGGTACGTATTTGCTTGTGCGCCCCCCCGTGCTCCTGACTCCGAATGTTTACCAAGTCCGGCCCCTCCAACGAGACCCCTCTCTGAATACGACTCTCTGACAGTTCCCACGGTGCTCCGTCCCAGCCCGACGGCGCCTGTCGCCTAGGGCACGGGTGTGGAGCAGCCAGGCCAACCACGATAGCCTGGGGACGGAAGCGTTCAAAGACACTGCACTGGGAGGATCGCCCGCGCACTTCGTCAACCGCGTCTTCAACGTCGATGTCGAATTGCCCCGACTGCAAACACATATCTGACACAGTTAAGCACGGCTCCTTATGCTACTTACTTCAACTTCTGGTTGAGATAATCTGGACATCCCGAACACAATTGTTCAAACACATACGTCACACCACCCGTCGGCCCGCCAAGAAGACGCACTGGCATTCGAACCTGTGCTAACGCACCGTGGCCTCAGCTTAGGTCTGACTTTACCGCCCATGGGCAGATCTAGCTCAGACTAGAACAACTTGACTTCAATCACGGCCCAACTTATTACACGTCCCGCCAATGACGGACTCGTTAGCAACCGTATGCGACAATCATCGACGGCATAGACGAACTTACATTGATTCAGATAACGCAGCAATCATGGATGAATTGGTGATGGAACTCCCCATGAATTGATCAACCATCGTGCCTTCGGAACGCTGGGGCGCGTTACACCGCAGGCCTGGTGCCGCCACTGGGCGCTCACCGCAACACTTCTTCTGCCGTCTTCTGCGTTTCACCCTTTATATTGTGAATTCGGTGTGATCTCATCAACGACTGGGGAAGGTTCTCGCGCATCAGCATCAGTGCTGGGATGCCAATGGGCAGTCTGATATGGTTCCCGGCAATGTTCTGTGGTGGCCCCGTGCCCAGCGAGGGTACTCGACCCCCCCTGGAAGACGCGCCGATACAGCCCCCAGATAGATCTAAGGCGTCCTCGAGACTCGACCACGAGGCTCCCATACCAGCCAACAGACGCCCCATTACGCCCCCAAGGCGCCCTCCGTCGCTCCCCCCCCTTGTGTCCATATCCAGATCCAGACCCAGAAGGCTTCTTTGATGGTACCGAGGGGGCTTCAAGAGGCTCCCATAACCCCCCTCACTGCGCCAGAGAGGAAGCCTTTGGCGAGACCCCGAGCGGTCAACAGCAGTGAGGACGCTGCAGGAACGCAATAGGCCCACGAGGCGGCCCAAGAGGCCGGCCCTAGATGGCTCCAAGAATGCTCCAAGACACGGCAAGACGGCTCCAGGATGGCACAACCCCACAAGCCCCCCCCGAGAAACTCCCCACCAAAAAACGTACGCTCTTCCCCCAAAAACAAAACAAAAATCCGATAGCTTCGTGAAGCGCAGTGCAGCCATCATGAAGAGCTACGGCTGCGCCGCGCTGCAACACCGGAGCCACTTCCAAACCGGCCCCGAGGCGGACCGATCCGATGGCTCCGCCTGGCCTGGCCTGTTCAGAGACATGGGCAGGCTCGCCCTGCGTTGAGCAGGGACCGACCGTCCCGGCATTCCTATAGTCCCACCACGAAATGTTCTTAGAACCACAAATGTTCAAATAACAAAAACAATGTTCTTAGGACATACACCCGATGAGATAAAGCAAGACAGACTCCGCCAGAACTGTTCTAAGAACAGTTCGTGGAAACCACAAAAGGTTCTTAGAACATTGTTTGGTAGGGCCATCGGCGATTCAGGACGCTTCGCCACTGCTTGACTTCGGAGACATGGGCAGGCCCGCCCTGCGCGCACTTCGATACTGCACTGGGCGGGACGCCCTCCCCCCGCCAACCCTTCGGGGGAAAGAAAGGGGGGATAGCAGAGGGTAGAATAGGGCATCAGCAGACGTGGCTGATTTTCCAAGCGCCTCCCGGCGCCGGGAGGCGCCCACGTATCGACGAATGGGCCCGGCGGCGGGGCCAAAACCGGGTGCACGCAGCAGATTTCGTACCCCCCCCCCCCCTTTCCCTATCCCCCCCCCTTTCGTTCGGCCCGAGCCCTGGGCGCGCGGGGGGAGGGCTGGGCGTCCGAAAGCTCTCGGAGGTAGTCATCCGCGCGAGTGCTGCGGCCCGTCACTCCGGCGAGCGGCGCTTCCCGACGCCGAGGGAAGCGCGGCTGGTTGCGGGCGGCCTGTCCCTGCCTGCTCGGGAACCAGCAGGACGGTTGTGCTGCTCCCATCGCATCCCAGAAAAAATTCGAGCACCCGGAAAAGTGTCGAAACAGTGTCGAACAAGTGTCTCCCAGGGCCCGACGCGTGAAAAGCCTCGAGCTTCGGTGCTTTCCTGGTGCTCGAAATTCCTTCTGGTGGTTCAGGCTCGAGTAGGCTGGAACATCATAACAGGAGGGGGGGGGAAAGGGGGGGGTGCGTGACACCACCGCCCGTCCCTCGCCGGCTGCAAGGCTCCGACCTGCTCGCGCCGGGCGGCTCTGAGCCGCAGCGTCCGCGGAGAGCGGGCGCCGGGGGGTCGCCGACGCGCACGCGCCGCGGAGGCTTGTCATGCCTGCGGAGGCGCGAACGATGCGGCGAGAATGCTGGCACGGCGGCGGGCCTTGCTGCAGGCAGCTGGACTCAGCGCAGCGTCGTCCACCGTCCGTCGCCCACGGCAGCTTCGATGGGCCTGCTTTCCACCACCAGCACCAGAAGTTGGAGGGAGAGGGGGTCCTCCTCCTCCCCTTCGTCCTCCTCCTTGTCCTTGTCCTCCTCCTCCTCCTCCTCCTCGTCCTCCTCCTCCTCGTCCTCCTCCTCCTCGTCCTCCTCCTTCTCGTCCTCCTCCTCCTCCTCTCGTCATTTCCCTCCCCCCTCCAAGCTATGGTGGTGGTGGGAAACAAGCCCATCAAGCTTGACACCTCTCTGCCGCCCCCGCGTGCCGCGCTCTCGCCCTGCCTGGCGTGCAACATCGGGGCGTCTCGGGCCCGCGCGCGGCAGCAAGACAAGCCAGAGGAGGGCCCGCACGCATCGAAGACCCCAACCGGCGACCGTGTCACTCCAAGCGCGGATCCAAGAAATCCGCGCGGAGCGCCAAACGTTTATGCTTCTGTGCTTTCTTGTTACTATGATTATTATTATTGTTATTATTATTATTATCATCCTTCTTCTTCTTCTTCTTCGAATGTCACATCCTCCTCACCCGCGCGACCCTGCACGCCGCGCTCGCCCCGGCTGGCGTGCAACATCGGGGCGTCTCGTCTCCGCGCGTGGCGGCGAGATAAGCCAGAGGGCCCGCACACATCGAAGATCCCGACCCGCGACCATGTCACTAGAAGAAGCAAAACCCACATACACAGAAACTTTTGGCGCTCCGCGCAGATTTCTTGGATCCGCGCTGGAACCCCCCTCCCTGGCGGGCGGAGCGCGCCAGGGGCGGCGCCGGAGGCGCCGCCGCGGATCCAAGACATCCGCGCGGAGCGCCAAAAAAATATATCTTTATGTGCTTTCTTCTTCTTCTTCTTGTTCTTCTTCTTCTTCTTCTTCTTCTTTTGGACGCCCGAGTTATCCGGGGTAACTCGGGTCCAGGGTAACTCGGGTTTGGATTCCCGAAAAAGGAACCCGAGTTATCCCTGACCCGAGTTACCCCTGATGATTCGGGGCTCTGGGCGCCCGAGTTATCCGGGGTAACTCGGGTCCGGGGTAACTCGGGTTTGGATTCCCGAAAAACGAACCCGAGTTATCCCTGACCCGAGTTACCCCTGATGATTCGGGGCTCTTGGACGCCCGAGTTATCCGGGATAACTCGGGTCCGGGGTAACTCGGGTTTGGATTCCCGAAAAAGGAACCCGAGTTATCCCTGACCCGAGTTACCCCTGATGATTCGGGGCTCTTGGACGCCCGATTCATCCGGGGTAACTCGGGTCCGGGGTAACTCGGGTTCGGATTCCCGAAAAGCGAACCCGAGTTATCCCTGACCCGAGTTACCCCTGATGATTCGGGGCTCTGACTTCTTGTTCTTCTTCTTCTTCTTCTTCTTCTCCGAATGTCACACCCTGGGTGCACCCTCCTCACCCGCGCGACCCGGCACGCCGCGCCAGCCCCGGCCGGCGTGCAACGTCGGTGGCAGCGAGGCGCGCCAGAGGAGGGCCCGCACACATCGCAGACGCCGACCCGCGACCGTGCCGCGTCTAGGGGGCCACGCGCGGACCCTGCCCCTACCCCCCACGATTTCTGAGTGGGGAGGTTGGGGTTCACTTCGCTCGGGAGCTCCCGAGCGAAGGGAACCCCACCCTCCCCCTCAGAGATCGTGGGGGGTAGGGGTAGGGTCCGCGTGTGGACCCTACAGTGAGCGGCTTGAATAAGGAACACTTACTTTTCAAAAGGGGCTCGGTCGTTCCTTCGGTTTTACAAGCGTTATTTACGGCTCCTTATGCGTTATCTATTATCTATCGTTCCTTATGCGTTTCTCCTTGGGATAAAAAGGGGCCTCGTTCCTTATTTATCGTTCCTCAGGTCAGGCCGGTGACTGTAGCGCCCTCCTCGCCCGAACGCGCCGTCAGGGCCACCCGGCTGCGCGCCCTCGCGCCCCGCGAGGTGCGCGGTGCTCGCGGTGAGCTCCCGCGCGCCCTCGCGCCGCCCTGCCCGGCCCAGGAGCACGCTCCGCGGTCCGGGGCCGCGGTGGGCGGAGCGCGGCCATCTTCGCGCCCCCGCGGGTGACCCAGATGATTCTTCTTCTCCTCCTCCATGCCTCCTTTTTCTCCTCATCATCATTATCCTCATCCTCACCCTCATCCGCCTCCTCCTCCTCTTCATCATCAGCAACAGCATCATAAGCATCAGCATCATGATTATCATCAGCATGGCACTCGTGGTCATCATGCTCATCACGGTCATCGTGATCAACATGATCATCAGTATCATAACCATCATGAGCAGCATCATCAGCAGCATCATACTCATCATCGTCGTCATCGTCATCGTCATCGTCATCGTCGTCGTCGTGCTCATCATCATCATCAGCATCATAACCATCATCATCATCATCATCATCATCATCATCATCATCATCATCATCATCATCATCATCATCATCATCATCATCATCATCATCATCATCATCATCATCATTAGCCTTCCCCTCTTCATCCTCTACCCCTTCCCCCTGGGCGCACCATCGCCAATTGAAGATGCCCCCCGCGGGGCCGACGCCCATGGCGAATATGAGTGCAATCGCTCTTGTTGACCTGGGGCTGGGAGAGGAAGCGTCGCAAACCTTGGCCATAGCCTGGTCGATTGATGCCGACACATGGGCCGTTTTGAGATACCTCAGCAGACTTCTTCTGGCAACGAATTTGCCCATCTGATCTAGAGCACGCCTGCAGACGCCTGGCATAGTCGGTTTCCTTGGCACCGATGACAACAACTCCCTACACAGCCTGAGCGAACCTGGAAACACACGGACCTGTCCCTTGCAGCCCGGGAACGATACCTGTGGCCAACCCGTCCACACCTGTGGGTGATACCTCCCGTGTTCCTACCCCCAGCCATTGGCCGAAGCTTCAAACAAGCAAATTCCCAACTGAGAACCTGGAGCTACGGTCAATACCGCAATTCTTGCCCCTTTGCTATGCCATAGAATACCGAATCTAACAATTATGTGACCGGTCCGTGCTCCTCACCTCTTTCAGTTCGGACGGACGGGGAGAGTAGCATAAGTGGGAAACAAGGAATTCGACTACAGAATTCAGTTAAACCGAATTTGTTGTTGTGTAGCAGACTAGACGTAGGTCGAACAACTCAATCGATCTACCAAGCATTCTACATATTTGTCGTCCGAAGCACGTCAATTCTATGGTCGATCCCCTACTCGAATAAGGGGTGCTGGCGAATCCGCGACGTGCGCCTGACTTTCACAGCGGCCCCCGGCGCCGAAAGAGAGGCCGTATAGAATGCATCGACGAGGAAATGCGAGGGCGGCGGGGTCCAAAGTGGCGGGATACCCCGTAGAACCCCGCATGTGAGGATGAGAGTGAGTGGGCGGTGGGGACGTCGGCAGTCTGCGAGGCTATGGAAAAGGCCCGCCGCGGGCGCCAAAGTTTCACAGATTAGACAGAGAGCCCACCGCAGGCGCCCAACGTTTCTTCGGACCAATGTGGATCGGTCGCGGGTGGGTCGCGGGTGGATCGGTCGCGTAGTGGGTCGCGGGTGGGTCGCACGTGGGTCGCGGATGGGTCGCGGGTGGGTCGCAGATGGGTCGCGGGGTGGGTCGCGGGTGGGTCGCGGGGTGGGTCGCGGGGTGGGTCGCACGTGGGTCGCACGTGGGTCGCGGGGTGGGTCGCGGGTGGGTCGCGGATGTCGCGGATGGGTCGAGGGTGGTCGCGGGTGGGTAGCGGGTGGTCGCAGATGGGTCGCGGGGTGGGTCGCGGGTGGGTCGCGGGGTGGGGGGTGGGTCGCACGTGGGTCGCACGTGGGTCGCGGGGTGGGTCGCGGGTGGGTCGCGGGATGAGTCGCGGATGGGTCGGGTGGTCGCGGGTGGGTAGCGGGTAGGGTTGCGGGTTGGGTCGCGGGTGGGTCGCACGTGGGTCGCGGATGGGTCGCGGGTGGGTCGCGGGTGGGTCACGGGTTGGGTCGCGGGGTGGGTCGCACGTGGGTCGCGGATGGGCAGCGGGTGGGTCGCGGATGGGCTGTAGGGTGGGTCGCGGGTGGGTCGCGGGGTGGGTCGCGGGTGTGTCGCGGGTGGGTCGCGCGTGGGTCGCGGATGGGTCGCGGGTAGGATGGCGGGGTGGGTCGCGAGGTGGGTCGCGGGTGGGTCGCGGGTGGGTCGCGGGTGGGTCGCGGGGTGGGTCACGGTGTGGGTCGCGGGTGGGTCGCGGGGGGGACGACGACGACCAACAACAACAACACCAACAACAACAATAACAACACCAACAACAACAACGACAACGACAGCAACAACATCAACAACAAGTATTAAGACTGTTCGCTATTATCGGCACGCGTGTCTTGTATTCCGTACCCTCGATACCCGCCCACTTCGTCTTCGATTGCACCCCCTTCCAGGGGGACTCTCTTCCTTGTCGGCCACTGACAAGTGCGAAGGAATCTCGAGCGAGAGCGCCGTTCCTGAGTTCGGGGGCCTTCTTGGCCAGGGGCTCTCGGAGTAAACCGTGAGGAAGCATCGAGCAGGAGCCCTTGCCGTCGTGGCTGGGCCTCCGCCTACTTAATTGAATTGCGAGGACGACTCGAGCGAGAGCGCCATTCCTGAGTTCGGGGGCCTCTCTGGCCAGGGTGTCTCGGTGTAATGTGTGAGGAGGTATCGAGCGGGAGCCGTTGTTGTCGTAGCTGGGCCTCCAAGGGCCCACATTTAGGCTCAAGCCAACGCTCGAGCGAGAGCCTCGAGTTTAGAGAACATGTAGCCGAAGCGAATCTTCAACAACAACAACAACAACGACGACAACCACAACAACAACACCAACAACAACACCAACAACACCAACAACAACAGCAGCAACAACAACATCAACATCAACATCAACATCATCAACAACAACAACGCAACAAACATAATCCTCACCACGGATTCTCACTTCAGCCACCCAGGGACAATGAATGACAGCGCGGCCACCTCACTCTGATACAGCAGATTGTTCGTAGCACCCCCTCTCCCGATCCTCCTCCCTTTCATCCGAAACGATCCTCCCCTTAACGATGGGCATGGCGACCACAATCCACGGCTTTCGTGAGATTTCCGATGGGCTGAAACATCGGAGGCCAAACTCGGGGATATGCGATATTATTAATATGGGGGGGCGTACATCCTCGACGACTACGGTTCTTCCAGGGAGGGCACCTACACGGCCAGAATCACGACCCTTTGTTTTTTGTTCCTGCCAACTTCCCGCAGAACCTATTTCAAGCCCGCCCGGAAGCAGAAGCCCCGCAGATATCCCGCAAGCAGCAATTTGATCGGGCATTTTTTCCCTAAAACCCCTTCTGTTGCATATTTTCCTTCTCCGTTTCGTTTTCGAGATTACTGTACCTGCGTGTTGAGTGGCATACGACATCAACACGTTCGCGCACAAACGCAAAAATCGCACCCGCGTGCAGACATCGGCGGCGCAATACCACCACTACCAGACGTCTTGACCACGTCGTCACTGACGCATCATGTCCGCTACCAATAAGACGGCTTGACACGTATCTCCACCTTCAACAGCTCCACATTCGATCTCATGGGGCCGTAGCTACGCTACCATTGCACGGGCAACTACGCCAGAACCGATTGCGAAATACGGCGCACGCGTGAGCCGAGAGAGAATGGCAACGCACAGAAGAAGGCGGAAGGAGGGAAGGGAGGCAAGGCCCCAAGATGCCCCCCAAAGATCCCATAAACCCCCCAAGAGGACCCCAAGACGGCTCCAAGACGGCCCCGAAAGGAGCCCAAGTCGGATCCAAGACGGCCCGCTTGAGACCTCCATGGGCCCATGGACCGAAGACATCATAACATTAGAGGAAACAAACTGTACTTCGACAGCGACAGCCCAATGGACCATCACAAATATCAGAAATCGCAATTCCTAGAAGAAGAAACAAAACATAAACAGGAACTTTTGGCGCTCCTCCGGGGCCCAGGCTTGGATCCACGAAATCCGCGCGGAGCGCCGGAAGTTTATGTTTGTGTGTTCTTGCTCTTCGTCGAATTACGCCGCATCTGAGTGCGATCAGGGACAGCAGCCCAAAACCGCGGGGCGGCCAAACAGAGCGCGGTGCACTGCATGGCGCGGAGGCTGGGCTCTGGACGAGGAGGAGCGCGAGAGAGAAGAAACACACAGTGGCGAGAGAAGCAGAAGACGCCATGCTGAACCACGGAAGTGACGTCAGCTCAGTAGAGGGAAAACAAACCTACCTCGCTTTTGACCACCCTCGCTTCCAAGAGATACCAAGCGATGCTAAACTACGGCCTGTACTGGTCAGGCCGCTTGACGAGGAGGCACGTGATGTGACTTGGTTTTGCCTGAGAGCGAAAGCGGGGTAGGTAATTCACGCTCTGACTTAGGGGCATCTTGATCTTGAGGCCTCCCGAGGGCATCCTGCCGGCGTCCATGGGGATTCCTCATGGGGATCCTGGGGCCGTGATGGGCGGTCCAGCTACATTTGGGAACGAACGGCTCTAGAGCCGTGAGAGGGGGGCCGGCTTACTAGGCACGCCTTGGTACCGTCTTGTTGATGTCACGCGCGGTCTTGGAACTATCTAGGGCATTGGCGCAATCTGTGGCCGCTCTAGGGCCGTCGTAATCCCCTCCCAAGGGGGCTCTGGATCCCCTCAAGAGCTATCTGGGACCACGGGGCAGTCTGCAGAGCTACTGGCACGAATTCGAAGACATGAACGTGGATGGCAAACACTAGTGTATAATCGTATTGTTTTTAGGCTACTGGGATAGTTCGGAGGGAATCTCCGTGGAGCTTCCGAAGCCTTCCTGAGGTGAAAAGCCATCAAACTCTGGGCCAGATATTGCACACGCGAGAGAAGTGGGAGGAGCAGGAGGCAAACTCCAGCAACTCCTCCCAAACCTCCGAAATCGAGACATTTCACTACGGTGGTCGCTGAGACTGTCGACCCGTTACCATCGTTCTGCTGTCGCAGGGCGTCACCCCATTGTCCCAGGACCAAAGACAAGACTTCTGAGGTCGAACTTGAGGAACATATTAAATGTACGTTTTGCGGCGCCGCGAGGCCTTTGCGGAGGGAGGAGCAGAATGCCTGCCATGGTCACTCCCTCCAAATCGAACTCACGTTGTTTCTCCAGATCCCGCCGTTGTAGACGGAAGCACTGCTTCGCCTTCACCAACATCCGTCTGGAGGACCCCAAAACCAAGTGACTATGTTGCATCTTTGGTCCCCTATCCGCGCCGAAACCGCGTCGAATCCATGCCGAGGGCGTCGAAGCAGCGTCGAGCCCACGTCGAATCCACCTCCGCGTTGGACGCTAGAGAGGGGGCAAAGGCCACGAATGAAAAAAACAACGCAGACTGCAAATGTCTCCGTGCGCACCGGATCCGGCCCCGTGCTGGACTCCTCCTGCTCCTCTCCTTGCCCTCCTCCGAACGCCCATCTGGGGCTTGGTTCTACCACATTGCAAATGCCCAAGGCCCCGACTCAATGCAAGGGGCTGCATGGATTAGCTGAGATCTGCGGTGACCCGGGGCTGCGACCGACAAAAAAACAGCCCCCCCTGCTGAACTATAGATTCGTACTCCTACGGAGAAGCTGACACATGAAGAACTTCGAAGACCAACAACAGGTGATCTTTGGGAAAAGCGGCAAGGACTGCAAATACGCCCTACATGTGGCGTCCTCAGACTAGCCAAAGGAAAGCCAACCAATGAATTGTACATGCATCGCTCCCAACCATTTGTCCCAACTTCCCTTCTTTCGATCCTCTCCGCTTCCCTCCAAGTCGGAAGACGCGGCAGACCATGCGGGCGAGCAGACGTACGTTGAGTTCGTCATGAGCACAGTGCCTGCGCGCACCCCGTCCTCGCCCTGGATGCAATGCCAACCCTGCCGTCGCCTTCATTCTAGTGAGGGGGCACGGAGCAAGAATGCAGTGGAGGCCAGTCCGCAAGAAGCCTTCCACAAGAAACCCAACCCTGAGACCCCAGGACGTCCATCGAAACCCAAGAAACCCAAGAAATCCAGGGCACCCTGGAGGCAAGCAGGGTGTTTCTTGTCATGGGCCCCCACTGTGCTTACCTGGTATCCAACAGTTGCTGGCAGCGCGAGGCCTGGTCCCAGGCGTGCTGGGAGGCCTGCAGGCGGTTGAGTTAAGGCCAAGGCTGTCCAGCAGCTGTCCCTGAGGCGTAGATGGATCTGGCCAGAACTTATCCAGCCAGATCGAAGCTCCATCAGAGGACAGGAGTCAGCCCAAGACCGCGCAGTCCGAACGATCGACGCTTTGCGCAGCCACCAGCACGCGCTGCGGAGTCGACCGACGCTCGGGGGCGGCCAAGAGGGGGGCGTCCAGGGGGCGCAAATCACGGCCGGCGACATGTGCGCGGCCCAAGGGGGGGGGGGGGGGCTGGGCACGCGTTGAAGTAAGCAGAGGCGCCTGGAAATCTGGGGAGATAGCATGGCCCTCGCCATGATATCCCCCCCCCCTGGTCATCACCCCCCGCTTGGCCGCCCCCGAGATACCGCGGACAGCCCTGGCTGCCCGCTGGCCGATGCCCCTCTCTGCGGGCGCCCCACGGGCTCCGCGGCCTCCCGCAGCCCGCCGCGCGACCTCCGCGACGGGTTGGCGAGCTGCAGCCGGGATGTGCTGGTCTTGCCGTCGGGCGTGCGTTCCCTGTGTATTAGAGGGAAAACAAACCTACTTCGCTTTTGACCACCCTCGCTTCCAAGAGATACCCCAAACGATGCCAAATTGCAGCCTGTACTGGTCAGGCCGCTTGACGAGGAGGCGCGTGCTATGGCTTGGTTTTGCCTGGAAGCGAAAGCGGGGTCGGTAATTCACGCTCTGATGTATGCTCCGATGCCGTGCGTTTGCGTTTTCGAAAACGATCCAGGATGCTCCTCAAGGGGGCCTCGCCGAGGGAAAAACGGGGACACGTCCGAGCGATGCCAAAGGGCGCGGCACACCCGCCAGTCCCAGGGGAACCCAGACACCGCGTGGTGGCAAACCGCGCGGCGATCTCGGAATCCCACAGGACCTCGCCGCACGGTCCGCCACCGTGCGGCCTCGGGACCCTGGAAGCGCCAGTCGCCCAGTCGCCAGAACCGTGCGGCCAGTCCGAACCCCCACGGGCTCACCACACCGGCCCTCCTCCGAATGTTTGGTTTCTGGGCCAAACCTTGGGTCTCCAGCGGCCATTCGGGACCATCTGGGCCCCAACCCCCGGGCGCTCTGGGCGAGGGGCAACTGCTGGAACGCATCCCGAGGCACAAGAGCCCCAGGAACCGACGCAAGCGTCAGAAAACCACCAGGGAACCCGCCACACAGTGTTATCACCGCACCGTGCAGGGGCCCACGCCGGTCCAGACAAGCGCGCTCCACTGCTCGTTTAAGTATATAGCTGCTCGCAAATGGCCTGGGCCCGCCGCGTGGGACTTACGACCCACTGCACAGTTGAAAGGTTCATTTGTTGAAAACAATAAAAAAGTAAGAAACCAATGTAAAAGTAAGGAAAGCCTTTTGAATGGGTTATATGAAAATATGATGTTTAACCCGTTAGAAATGAGAATGCATGAAACGAATGCGATGATCAGGGGATTGGGGTCAGGCGTGCACGAGTAGGACTCTCAACGTGTACCCCCGCAGCTTCCCCTCTATTGCAGCACCCTCTAAAATGAAACCCCTATCTCATGCGCCGCTGCACTGTGTGATCTCGGTCCGCGTTCCCCCGCCGCCGCTCATGCGTGCAGGCACCCCCCGCACAATGAGAAGGGATTGCCACTGATGCATGATGATGGGGAAGGGTGGTGGTAAGTGTGATGATGGTGAAGGTGATGATGTTCTCACTCACGCGCAGGCCAGCGTCCCCAAAAAGACTGAAAGCTGAGCTGGCTTCGTGGCAATGCGAGGGAATCCTTTCATAAGGTGTGAATGTTCTTGCTGTTGCTCCCCCTCAATCCGTCGACCCCCAAGATCGGACCCCTCATTTCGCCACCCGTGCCAGAGAGACGAACAGCTTCGCATGTACTTGCCTACGCAGCCCGCCCCAAAACGCTCGCCCATTCGATGAGAATGGTCGACAGCCGAACGAGGCCACTAAAAGAGCACCCCTGAGCCCACAAGAGGCCCGCTCGGCACCACGGACTGCGGAGGCTATTCTTAGCAAAGCGTCCACTCAAGGCCCCAGCGGCGACAAGCTGTGGCCACGCGTGTCGGCGGAGGGCCTAGACATACGAACTAACTGCGGTGGAAAACTACTTCGCGCTGACTGGCGCAATCTTGAGCTTCAAAAGTGGCTTCGACGGTTTCGAGCTCTTGTCTGCTGATGCCACCTCGGTCGACTTGGATTCGACCGTTGGCGAGCCCGTGGTACTGTCTGGGCCCGCGTGAGCGTGAGGGCCACCGTTCTCCTCCTCGAGGCCAGCTTCGAAGTCGTTGAGCTTCACTTGCAACGAGTTCGGCAAGTCGGCAACCCTGACCGATAGCTTGTCGGCGGCGTACTTCTTTGTAGTGGGCACGGCTTTTTTGGTCAGTAAGCTGTTCGCCAACATCATCGTTGCCATCAGCACTGCTGCTTCGCGAACCAAGATCTTGATCTCAGGAAGCTTCTCGATCAGGGCGCGAAGCAACGCGCTCTCCACGTCCGAGATCCACTGCAGGGACCCCACCACCTTCGACAGCTCCTCGATAACGCGAGCTGCTGGGGGGAGGCCGATGATGTAGGACTCGGTCAGCTTGAACTCTGCAGTGCGCTTGTCGTCTCTGGTGCTGGATGCCAGCCACATGTTTGCATCGAAGCTCCACGCGTCGACGAGGCCAATCACCTTCTCCTCGTCCCTGTACTTCTTGATGAAGCCCTCTACCTGGATGATATCGAGCTGCCCCGCGACGCCCTGGAACGCGGTGGCCCACTCCTCCTTCAACGCCCTCTTCCAGCCAGGGATCTCGGCCATGGTAGAAACTGGCTCGACCAACGATTGGATGAGGGTCAACGCCGCGGTGCTCTGCATGCAACCGATGCTCTTTCCCGCAACCAGCTGTTCTGCACTCTGCCTGATGGTTTTGAATGCCTTAGCCGAGTCGACCAGCACCTTCACTTGAGCAGGTAAACAACCGACGAGCTCGCTGACTACTGCAATGAAGTTCTGGGTGACAAGCTGGCACCCAGGTGAGCCAACAATCGCCTTCACAACTGAAATGATCAAGTTCTCCGCCGAGAGAGCTGAAAGAACATCGCATATCAACTGGAAAGAAGATATCTGTTTGTCGTCGGTCACCCTCGTCGCGCTCTTGATGGACGCCTCTGCCTCCCAGATCTCCGACCAGTGGGTCAGAATCGACTCGTCACACTTCTTCGCAGACATCACCTTGGTCTCGGTCACCTTCACGGCGAGGAGGCATCGATCATTGGTTTCTTTCACAATGGCCCTGTAGACAGAAGAGAGCTCGAACATCATCAAAGTAGACGCCACAGATGCAAGTACACGGAAGATATCGGCATCAGAGTCCATTTGTTCTAAGGCTTCCTTGCTTGCGCCTCCATTGCCAATGCCATCGCAGTAGATAGTGCTCGCCAGTTGCTGGAGTCCGCCAGAGTACAACGTGATCAAAGATAGGCCACTGAAGAGGTTCTTCACCAAGTCGTCCCTCAAATTGATCAGCTGCTCGATCTCGCTGTCGTTCTCGTCGCCGATGCCGTTGAGGAAATTGGCGAACGTCTTCACCGATTCTGACCCCGCGATCTCCTGGAGCAGGCCGAAGGTGCACTCAACAGCTTGCTGGCTGTCTGTATCCTTGAAGGGGCCAACTGCGCCCCTGCCCAAGCTGATGAGATCAGCGACCCGAGGACCCTCGGGCATCCCAGAAAGCCCAGGTCCCCAGGGGACTCTTTTGGACCAAGGACCGAGGACCCCCCCCCCCAGCTTGAGCATAGGTGTCGATTTGCCCCCAATACCTCAGCATACATGCGAAGAGAATGCGTCAGCTTCATCACCTCGTCGACGACCTCAGTATCAAGACGCCTGCAGGAGTCCCCCGTCCCGATGTCAGGAATCATCTCCCAGGCGATCTTAGCCATGCTGGACGATCCACCCGACACGCGAGTGAGGCAACGGAGGCGAGCGCTCAACTTCGACACACGGGATCGGAGTGCAACGCCCTCGATGCGAAGGTCTCTGGGCAGTCTATCGTCGGCGTCTTGCGCCAAGACCCTCCCGAAGTACTCCAGCGCGTACAAGTCCGCAGCGCACTGAGAATTCCACCCAGTGGTCTCGTCGATCATGGTGTTGTCCAGGTCGAGCTCCGCCAAGTTGACCTGGGGAAGCTTCCATTGGGCCTGAAACCGATCCCTCCTCACCGAATCTCTCCGGTTGACATTATCGTTCCGGGCTGGGAACGATCGAGGTCAACCAAAGCTCACGGTGAGAAGGGCGCAGTTTAGCAGGCCCATTGGAAGCCGTTTGACCTTGCCAATCACAGCAGAGCAGCACGACATGATCTTGACGAAGTCCTCGCGCCTCTTCTTGACCACCTTATCGATGAAGCCCTGAACGAGATTCTGTTGGCAGCTCGACACAAAGCGATCGTCGCAGCCGCTGGCCTTCAGGGCACCCACGGAGAACATGCCCTTGACCTCCATGAGCTTCGCCACCTTCAAGGCCATCACCTCGCAACCATCACCACCAAGGCCCAAAAGAGTGAACGAAGTCGCCGATAGCATGTTGACCCGAACGGTCTCAGAACACTTGCCGAAGATGTCGATGAAGTCGCATGGTAATGAGTCCAGCTTCTCCACGTAGTCTTGCGGATTCTGCCTGAAAGCGTCGATTGCTTTCTTCTGAGTAGTAAGTTCCACACTCAACTTGAATAGCTTCTCTGCTGTCTCCGCCGCCTCAACATCGTCAGCGATCGCTGCCACCTTTGTCGCCCTGGCCGCCAGCTTCGCGAGCGCGTTCTCGTAATCTCTGGACTTGAACTTCCTGTTCCACAAGACCTCTGGTGAGAAAGCAACCGATGCATCATGCAAAAGAGCTTTACCTCCTTCGACGCCTGAGGAATGAGCGTCAGAGCCAACACGCCTCTTCTTGGTGGTCCGTACTTCTATTGGTACCTCCGACATCGTTCTCCTCGGAATCGGCGTGGCACAAGCAGACGAAGCACCACCAATGCTGCAGGAGTCCACGTCGCTGAGGTTACCGATGTCGTCACTCGCCGTAATCAATGATGCTGCTGCTAGTGGCGATGCCCTCACGTCCACGATGTCGGAAGACGTCTCACGCCCACTTGACGGGGCGCCATCAGCAGCAAACGACGCCTTGCTAGTGAGACGAACACGCGGCTTGGCAGCAGCACCAAAGCCCAGAGGCTGACCTTCACGCTCACGACTACGCAGATCCTCTTGATGCCGAACCTGTGCCGACTCCTCGTCGTCGTGCTTCTCCTCCACGATCTTCTTCGCCGAGTCCTTGACGCCCTTCCTGCACTTGTACTGGGCCCCATGCGGCATGTCGGGGACGTTGACAACAAGCACGCCCTTCTTGCCCATCTCTACCTCCATCCCCAAGGAACCCGTGATGTAATCGACCAGCATCTGCTCAGTAGGGAAGGAGAGGTTTCGTTCTCTCGCAAAGGATTTGAGCTCGATGGCGTGGCCCTCCTCGAACCCCTCGCTGAACTGCTCACTCTGGATAACGGTCTTCACTTTGGTGTTGGCGGCCTCGGTCTTCACGTACTTGCACTCTCCTGAGGCCTTGTCCTGGCGAAGCCGCTCATGACGCTCGGACGCCTCGCCGCCAGCCTCGATCATACCGTTCACGGTGGCCTGGGTGGTGCCCGTCGGGTAGTACCTCTTCCTGGTGTACAAGCAATTGCCGCACTCATGTCCCATGGGAGTCAGTAGACCTGTCTTTGCGCATTTTTCACCTTTTGGCCACCACAGTGGCTGCTTGACGCCCTCTGGCGCGTGCTTCTCGTAGCCGTGCGTGTTCTGGTTGCATGTCGTGCAGGTGGCCATTCGAACATTGAGAAGGGGGTGGTCTACCTCGGGCTCATCCTGGGCCTTGCGCTTCTTGTCCGAAGCGCCAGCATCTGTGTGCTTTTTGGGCTTGCCCATGGCAGCAAGACGGGCTCTGCTAGCAGGGCGTCGGGATGCCTTGCGAAAAAAAACGCCCAGCTCAGAGGCTCAGCGAATGTCGTGTTCTCACAACGAACCCTTATTGTTTGAGCACAAACGTTTCGGCACACGGACAGATAAGAAACACGGAGGAGGAAGAGGGGACACATATTGAGGAGGGCGGGACAACCAGTCATGGCGCGAAACTTCGGGGGCCCCTACATCGTTCACCTCGCAACGCCGATTGCGGCATCACGACCAAGAAAAAAAGGGCAAGGGGAGTCACGGATGCTTTGCGGGGGTGATGATTTTCTTTAAAATTGGTCGGGGGGGGAAGGGGTTTTGGCCATATGGGCGAGGGGAACTCCTATCTATTGTCAAGAAGAGGGGGTCATTGAACGCATCGGATTGCTACGTCTTTGCAATGCCAACGGCGCCTTCCACCACCAGGACCCATCGAGCATCGAGGCATGCAGTGTCCGGAACGCAAGACAACTGATAATTGCAAAGCAATAAAACATTTCATGCGTAGCACCAGCAATTGCAATATACCATGAGAACGAAACGGGAAGGAACGAGGGGACAGTGAGAGAGCCCTGCGGTCAGAACAGTTATGTGAGCAATCGCCCGCCGCGGCGTTCCTAAATTAACATTGCAGGCGTCCTTAACTTGGCATTGTCCTCTGCTGGCGCATATCACTTGGGGCGGACGACCGACGAAACCGAAATTGAACGCATGGCACACTCCGGGGAGGGAGACGCGCAATCTCATACGACACTCACAAAGGCCTACAACAGACTCTGGGGGAAGTTTCGCTGTTCTGGGGAAAATATAACGCACCCACCCAGCCCATCAAAATAAACATGTGCACAGCGCATTAATCGATATATCCCCGCAAAACAACCACAGAACACAAAACCATGACAACATCAAGCAATGACAGCTCGGTGTATTTACAACCAAGAACTGAAAACATTTGAACCAAACGCAAACATGACAACCACTGACCACTCATCATTTTGATCAACTGAACACGGCGCGAATAATGTCGATGCGTACTGTTGTGAGGATCGTATGGACGCGCGCGCTACATGCTATATACGCTCCCACTCAACGAATGCGATGTTGACTCGAAAACCCAATGGTGAAAACCCAATGTAAAATTTCATTCTCTGGTTGGAAGAGGCGACCATGTCAATGTGGAATATACGAAAACGCATAAGCAATGCAAACGCGCTGCTTTGTGTAAACGTTTCCATACAGTGGAATTGATGTTGGCTCCAAAGCCCAATGGGGAAACCCAGTGTAAATTTTCATTCTCTGATCGGAAGAGGCGGTGATGCCATTGTGAAGATTATGAAAAGCCTATTAAAAATGCAGGTGCGATCTGCATTGTGTATGTGCGTCTACACAACATGGCGATGTTGAGTCGAAAACCCAATTGTGAAAACCCAATGTAAATTTTCATTCCCTGATCGGAAGAGGCGATCATGCCAATGTGGAATATACAGAAACAAATACACATGCGCCGACGCGCGCGCGTCGGCGCGCGCCGACGTGCGCGCGTCGGCGCCGCTTCCAGATCGGGAAGAGATCGGGAGATGTGACCATGCCAATGTGGCATTTCTAGAAAAGTATACACACTGCAGCGCGCGCGGCATTGTGTATACGTGTCCACGCAGCAAGAACGATGTTAACTCGAAAACCCAATGGTCAAAACCCAATGTAAAATTTCATTCTCTGATCGGAAGAGGCGAGCATGCCTATGTGGAATAGTCGAAACCGCAATTGCCATGCACCGACGCGCGCGCGCGCGCGCGCCGCGACGCGCGCCGTGCTGAGTGTATACGTTTCTATACAACGGAAGCGATGTTAACTCGAAAACTCAATGGTCAAAACCCAATGTAAAATTTCATTCTCTGATCGGAAGAGGCGACCATGTCAACGTGGAATGTGGGAAATGCTAAAGGATGCTCTGGCGCGCGCGCGCGCGCGCTGCCGAGTGTATAAGTTCTTTACAACGGAGGCGATGTTAACTCGAAAACTCAATGGTCAAAACCCAATGTAAAATTTCATTCTCTGGTCGGAAGAGGCGACCATGCCAACGTGGAATATGGGAAGTGCCTAGGAGTCCTCGGACGCGCGCGCGCTCTGGTCCGAGCATGGCGCGCGCGCGTCGGCGCATTTGTAATTCGCTTCCATATGTTCCACGTTGAGATGGTCGCCTCTTCCGAACAGAGAATGAAAATTTACATAGGGTTTTCACCATTTGGTTTTCCAGTTGACATCGCTTTCGCAGCGTGGAAGCGCTTGCGAAATCCAGCGCGCGTTGCAGGTCGGTTTCATTTTCGCATCACCCACGTTGACACGTGGACACGTCGGCACGATGCGCACTGAAACAACCGACGCGCTGGATAACCCCACGCGTTCCGCAGGAAGTAGGCTTAGCAGTTGCCGAGGGCCCACGTGAGCTCCCAGACGCACATGGGGGCTGCCTTACTGCGAACAATTTCGCGGCAGTCCTGTCTTGCCCCCGCCCATGTACTTTCTTCTCTTCGCGCTTTCGCGCAAGCGTCGGCGCGCTGCGAGCTGGTCGGCCGAGGCGCCGCAATTGCAGGATGCGTGCGTCATCGCGACGCCCCAAGGCTGCAGCCGCGGGCCCACTTCCAGCCACGTGGCCGCCAGCGCTGCACGGGCACAAGTGCCGCCGCGCGCGACGCTTATTGGCCCTCACCGCAAGAACAACAAATACATACTGCACGGTAGACGGGGCAATCCGCCAGATGTGCGTGATATTATATTCTATGTTCAACGGCAGCGAGGGCGAGTCATCCCTTGCCGACCGCGCTGGCCGCCTTGCCGACCGCGCTGGCGGCCTCCCGCGGGCGCGAACATCGCGCGCTGTGCAAATTCATTGGTTGGCGGCATCCGCGCGCGAATCATGTTCGAGGCCTTTTCGGTTTAGACTCAAAGCCTTTTCAATTTAGACTCGAGGCGTCCATGCGCTCTCGGCGTTCGTTGTGCTGACAACGAGGGCGTCGTGGCATGCCGTGCCCATCTCGCGCGGAGAAGCGGCGGTCGGTTGCGAACGCGGTAGCCGAACGACCTCCGATGTCGGATGGGGGCGAACCAGTTGCGGTTGGCAACGCGTCACGCGCACGACGCGTCGATTTTCGCGCCCGCAGGTTTTTGCGACGCGCGCGCTTCGCAGAACCGTCACGCGTTGTCCCACGCGACCGCTACGTGCCCTCAGGACGTGGCCAACCCGCGGCGTCTGGACCGACGGCAATGACATGTTGCCTGCCTCATTCTTTCGCCACCTCAGGTCGGCTCATGGCCCGCCCATTGCTTGACAAAGGCGAATGACGTTCTCACGCGTACGGTTGCTTCGTGCATGTCAGAAATAGTTCGACGCCGTTCAGTTGTTCAGGAGTTGTTCAGGTGACATTCAGGTGTCATTCAGGCGTTATTCAGGCGTTTTCCAGAATGATTCAGGTGTTGTTCAGGTATTCAGGTATCATTCAGGTGTCATTCAGGCGCTATTCAGGTGTTATTCAGGTGTTATTCAGGTGTTATTCAGGTTTCCCAGAACGATTCAGGAGTTATTCAGGTGTTCAGGCATTTGGTGAGTTATTCAGGTATTATTCAGGCGTTTGCGCAGGAGTTATTCAGGTATATCAAGACGGCATCTGGGCATAAGATGTACAGCGCGCGCGCGCAAGTCTAAGTCGCCTAGCCACGCGGTTGCGTGCGCTGTCGCGCCTGGAGGGTTGAGTCGAAGTGGCGAGGGCGAGGTTTGCGCCGCGTTGGATGGCGTTCCTCGGCGCGGCTACGCGTTGGAAAGCGCGCAGGGGCCGCAGGGGCAGGGCGATGGGCCCGCGGCAGATGGCCTCGGCACGGGGCAGCAGGGGAAGCAGGGGCGGCGGTGGCGCGGTAAAGGCAGGGGGCTCGGGCAAGTCCGACGGCGGGAGGTGCGCTCGGGGCCCGACCCATTCGGCTTGGCTGACGAATTCTCCCCTGGAAAAACATTTGTAACTGGCGGCCGCGAAGGGTGCTGCGACCGCTCGTGCCCGTTCAGGTACCCCCCCGCCCAAGCTGGCGCGCGGGCGACCGATTCGTCGGAGTGGGTGACCACGTCGTGAGTTGGTATTGCATCGGGTCGGCGGCATCTGCCGACGGGTGCAGGTCGCAAGGTGCGCATCACATCGCGGCGGGTTGCCCCCAGCGCGTGCGGCGCTAACGAAGTTCCAACGCGCCCAGAGTTCGGGCTTGTACTTGCGGCGTTGTCGGCCAGGCCCGAGCGCGCTTCGCGTGGTTGAACGACGCCAAGAGGCCGCGACCGCCGTCGAGTGCACCTCTCCCGCTCGCAACGACAATGCGCGGGTTGCAGCGGCGCGATCGCATCGGGCACCGCGCGCGAAACGATGCCCACGCGCTGCAGGACACGCGCGTAACGCGGGCGATGTGGATGCGATCGGCGCGCAGCCAGCGGCTTGGCCCATATTTCAGTGCAAACGCAGCGGGCGCATGCTAAACCTGATATATACGCGGCCAGGCGCGGTCGCATGTGTCGCCGCCGCGTGAGTCCACGCGCGGAATAAGCGCTCTATCGCCATCGCGTTCGGGCAAGGTCGCCGCGGCGGCTGTGAATGCCCATCATTTAAGTTGCACCTAAAGGGCACGACGCCGAGACGCCAGTCCCGCGACTGCGTGCGCAGACCATCTGCGCCTCGCCATCTTGAGATGTGGCCGTGACACCCGGTTTCCCATGGCACCGTGGCCGCGGCGCCCGCTTGTGTTTCAACGCGCTAATATCGACTTGCAAGGGGAGCGGGGCGGTCGCGCCGTTGCTGACGACGATTGCCACAGCACGCGGCGCGCATTGCAATTCGGTTGGTGATGCGCAAGCGAAAAAGCGAAGGGTGGCGCTCGCCGCGCCCGAGGCCGTTTGAGCACCGATGGTAAACCTACGGCTCCGACGCGCAGCAGTAGCTTGTGCA